GCGTTTTGAAGATGCATCTGGTGAATGTCTTGGTATGTGCTACGCAGATGCTGATAAGTACTGGTATGTATGCTGGTGCGAAAGACAATGAGAGAGCGGACGCCCCGGCCGGCGGTGCGACTATCAGGAGTGGGTCCTCTGTGGATAGGAGAGACATAATCAATGTCATAGGACAGACTAAACGCTGTGATGCTTTCAGTTTAGTGGGAAATGACTGTTCACTGAATAGACTGCATACTCTGGGTATGACCGACTGTAGTACTATAGCCGGTTATGCCCAGGGTGTACCAATTTGAGCAGCTAGACAGGAAAACTATGCGGAGCCACTCGTCGTTACAACAACCCGAACAAAATGGTAGTTGTTAGCCTGAAACCACTGGCAGAGTTCCAATTGGAGAGTTGGGTGTACCAACTGGAGCATCGGGACAGGAAAACCATGCGGGAGCCAATCGTCGTTACATCAACCAGGATAGAATGTGAGTTGTTAGCTTAAAAACACTTGGAGACATACTCAGGAGGTGATCGGAACATCTATGGTCATGTGCGATATGCCATAAAGATAATCTTTAAATGAACAATTGTATTTATAGCCTCGGATTTGTCATCTATCTATTTAAGCAGACAGGATTCTAAAACAACGAAAATATAATTTCACGCCTTGAGTAACATCTTCTGCAGCGAAGTTTACGGGAGGCGTTGACGTCTGTTTGTAGAATTTGTTTTCTTCTAGGAACTCACGTGTTGGCACAAGGGATTTTATTTTACCGGATAACGGTAAAAAAAACCCATTGTTTTAGAGTTTTATAATCTTAGCAGCTTGTAAATGTTTGTATAGTAATAAGTAAATATTATGAGAGATCTATACAGATGCTCGGATCTGTTGTATACTTGAAACTGAATTTTTGTTTCGTTCCTGTAGTGGATTAAAATCCTTCCACTCTCAAGTCTCAACTCAACTACCCTCTGTTCTGGAGTAAATAATAAATTCAACCCGATTGCTTTGCTTGTTCAGATTACTAGATTAATTATTCTATTGTTATCAAGACAATCATAGTCACAACAATTAATGATACGATACTGTCAGTATCATACTGTCATCTGCATACGATACATACTAACTGTATGACCATATATACAAACTACGATGCATGGTGTAGACTGTAGTTCAGAGCTATTCAACACTGGCGGCGCGCGGGCCATACCTGGCCCGCGGAGGCCTAGCAAGTGGCCCGCGGATCATTGACAGTTGAATTATATTAATGCTCTGTCTATGCTTGGGCTCATGACTCTGGCCCGTGACAATCCCCAGTTTAAAATATGTGGCCCCTGTGTAAACTTAGTTGATTAGCCCTGGTGTAGTTGGTCCTCTTTGTGAACTTTGTCATCTGTTTTTAGTTTTAATGAAGTTTGGGAGAGATGTATGCGCATTAAACCAATATGAATATGTGTTGCCCGGTTGTTTAATCTGTCAGCGTATGTGTATTTGTAAATGTACTTTTTTTTCCCTGTCCGAAAGTATTTCTCCCATACTAAAGATGAATTTACATTTCTGAAATTTGTCTATTGAGTGACTAATATTAATAATTAATCGCATTCTGTCTGTCTGGGACGCCGGAATGTAGTGTCATAAATTAATGAAAGTATAAATTTATAAATTAGTCCCTTACTCGTCACAGTAATTGAAATTTCATTTTTGAGTTTGAATTTTACAAGAAGTAATTTACGCATCTAATTATGCTAATATGTTAGTTTAGTAGCAATATGGCGGCCAAACAAATACGCCTTAGTCCTGAAAAATTTGGACTTGTCGGACCTCCTGCCGAAGAACAAATCACAGCAAAACTAGGATCCGCTGAATAATTAAACAAATGCTCTAACAGGGTCTCAGCGATACGTTAATTGCAGACCTGTTTCTATGACTATGCCTCACCGCTGACAGTATCGTATCCCCCACACCGCTACACACTGTTTAGTAACACAATTTAAAGTCACTCTAATAACGTCTTTTGTTTTCATTTTTGTTCTACATCATATTATTATAATATATTATTATTTATTACAATTAATGTAATCTAACTTCTGCTTCTTCTTCTTCTTTGCATTTGGCATTTGGTTTTGTATGCTCAGATCAGACCATCAGGTGGGATGCCTCTATGAACTCACATGTCAGTAGCACTTCCTTTGTGGTTCCCCGCAGATTGCTCTGCACACTTTGCTCTTAAGGCGAGGTGTATTTTTTAATTGTTGGTGGAGTGGGAAAGTCTGCAGAATGTGCTCAGGTGTTTGTGGTCCTCTTTGACAGGCACAATGTGAGGACTGTACAATCTTTATTTTATGAATGTGGTAGTTGAGCCTGCAGTTGAGTATCTTGTTTGTAGATGGCAAATTGTTGTATGTTGCTTTCTGTTGAGTTTGCTGACGGGTTCTTGTGGATGTTTACTGTTAGTTTGTTCTCTCCACAATTCCTTGCTTTTTTCTTTGATACATGTTCTGATTTCTGGGTCCGACAATGGATGTGTGGGTTGTTTCTCCTTTGTTCCATTTTTGGCAAGTCTGTCTGCTAACACATTTCCTCGTATGCTGCAGTGAGCTGATACAATCTAACACAACACACATTAAAAACATCAGCCACCTGTAGCTTCTTTCTTCATATTACTAACACTATTATGCCATTACTTACCCTTGCCGTTTATTTATTTGCATCCTTTAAATGATCCATTCCTGTGTGGGTTCTGGGGCCCTGCGGGTGGACACTACCCATATGACAAGCATGTCGTAAAAGGTGACTTTAGAGTAGTCAAGTTTTCTTTGAAGTCAAAGTGCATCTGCCTGAGAGGCAAGGACCAAACTGCTGTAACTGTATCAGTTAATCCGGCTCTCTAGCGAAGTTGGTTAAACCTGACTTTCGCGGCGGCCGGGTGACGAACTCCTTGTGGTCCGGGTTCACTCCCGGGGGTAGGCAGAAAAGCCACATTTCTCCCAGATTAACGGTACCTATAATGGAATCAAGGCCGAAGGGTTGCGATATCCATAGTACCGAGCCAAAGGGTTTACAACTCATGGTTTCTGGATACGTAAAAAAAAAAAAAAAATCAGTAAGCCAAATCTGTGAAAGTGAAATTAATGTGCGCACATGAAAACTCAAGTTCTGGAACAAGAGCAGAAGACCAGAAGTGGACGAGCAGAGCTTTCTGCTGGAGCTTACAGCCAGTGAACACTAAGTAGAAGAAGAACTGTATCCGTTACAGATCAGCACACAAATTGTCATAAGAGATCATAAGAGAACAAGTCGGCACAGAACCAATTCTGGATTACATACAAAGACAGCAAGTGAAATGGTTTGATCTCTTATGATCTAGAAACAGAACCTTATATCTCCCTCGACACCCACAGCGGTAAAAGAGGAAGTGAAGAAGACACAAATTTTCAAGTAGGCACTTAGCAGATCTTTGGGAGTTTTGATATTTCTCTCCTTCACAGTGTTACTTTTTTTTTTAGTAAAAGAATCTTTAAATCTGAAAATTATTATGTTTTCTTCATGTCAAACAAATCTAGTATATTGGAATTTTGTTATCTTTGTAATTTTTGCTTCTGCTTATTAAAGGAAAAAGTAAAAACAGTTAGCACTATTACTAATCTTCTTCTTGACGTTCACCGGCTGTCAACTGGCAAACAGTTCTGGTTGTTCGTCCATCTCAGGATATCAGTCTTGTTTCAGAATCTGAGTGTTGCATACACATCCTGTTTACAGATGTGACTTTTTTGTATGCAGATTGTTGGTTCTTTGCCTATCAGACTTCGAAGAAAGCTCCCAAAAAGTTTACTCTTACGACATGCTTGTGCAGGAGGCAGTGGATATGTTCTTGTTTCCCTCACACAAGGACATATTACTAATAAATTTACTAGTGCTTGTGCTGAATAGAAACAATTAAATAATTTGACAGAATGACTAATATGAAGCTTTACGAGAACCAGACAAATTACAAATTCCAGTGAACTGAAGGCAAAGAAAAATGACAGTTGTTGGATAACACACACCTTGAATATGCCATTGCACTAGAACCTTTTCGATACAAGAATGCAGGAGGATATGGTCAAGAGATCTGCATACAGCAGAGAATAGGATGGGTTTTTGCATGTGGATTCAGGGCCTCTGCTCCATTGGGGGGACAAAGGGCAGGAGAAGATGGTGAACATGTCACACACCAGTGACAGCATTGGACTCTCGTTACCTGTTTACAGTAGTAGAGTTATGATAGTTTCAAACTAGTTCTTTATCGTCGTCCCCTAACACTGAATGTCATTTAGTCACCAGTTGCTGTTGACGGTTTGATCAGCTCCTTCCACATTTGACGATTGCATGCCTAAGACCAGTCAAGTTCTGTATCCAGTCCTTCCTTGGTCTGCTTCTTCTCTCTACAGAGCCCTGTGATATTGTTGGTGAAAGTCCTGTGATATTGTTGGTGAAAGTCCTGTGATATTGTTGGTGAAAGTCCTGTGATATTGTTGGTGAAAGTCCTGTGATATTGTTGGTGAAAGTCCTGTGATATTGTTGGTCAAAGCCCTGTGATATTGTTGGTCAAAGCCCTGTGATATTGTTGGTGAAAGGCCTGTGATATTGTTTGTGAAAGTCCTCTGGATCCCATTATATGTCCATCTGGTTGTGTTTTCTATCTTTTCACTGTAACTAAAAGATGGTCATAGTTGCTAGTGTACTGAATAATTATACGGCAAACCTCATCATTTGTGAAGTTGTCTCTGTATGATATGGACATACCAATTTTTCTGAAAGATTTCATTTCTAATTCTTGTATCTTTTTTTTTTATTTTTATGTGTGTGTGAGTTAGCTGTTAGTGTCCACATTTCACAGCCATATGTTTTTAAAACTTTTAGTTTGTTCAATTGTGAAATTTTAAAATTCTTTGAATTATGTCAATTTAACATTACAGTAAATTTGTCTGGTATATTTTAAATTTTTCCAACTAGATCAAATTGAACGATGGGAAAACGAAAATGGAAAGCAAAGAAGTTAGAAAAGAAGCAGCAAAAAGCCCAAATGCCAAACAATTTAAAGCCCTTGACAAATTCTAGCTCACGGCCAAAGGTACCTGCAACACCCAACAAGATTGAAGCTGTGGTAAGTTGTAGTTTCAGAAATGCTTGTATCATCTCGTACATTCACTCGGTCAGTCAGCAGGTCCTTTACAGAATGTCACTCTCATCGCGGCATGCCAGAAATTCTTTCTTTATCCAGCCTATTCTTTAGCCCCATGTGCTGTCATAACCGATGTATCTTTAGTGTCTTGTGCCCATGTTTGCGTAGGTCTGCCTCTGTCGCGTTTTCATGAATGGTACACTCCGTCACCGTTCTATCCAGGCCTTGATGTTTAACCTTGCCAAAATACCTCATCTTTTGGGACAGGGTGCTGTTTATGAGCCAGTTCTCCTCAATGCTCAGCAATTTCACTAGCTGTTTGTGTGTATCAGTTAACAGACTGTTTGTTCTTGTGCCTCCATTAGCAAGCTAATATTTGTTCTTGTGCCTCCATTAGCAAGCTAATATTTGTTCTTGTGCCTCCATAATCAGACTGTTCTTGTGTATCCATTAGCAGACCAAATGTTTGTTCTTGTGCATCCATTAGCAGACCAAATATTTGTTCTTGTGCATCCATTAGCAGACCAAATATTTGTTCTTGTGCATCTATTAGCAGGCCAAATATTTGTTTTTGTGCATCTATTAGCAGACCAAATATTTGTTTTTGTGCATCCATTAGCAGACCAAATATTTGTTCTTGTGCATCCATTAGCAGACCAAATATTTGTTTGCTTCTGCCAGACTGGCCGTTAGTTTTTTGCTCCATTTGTAGACTGGAAGTATATAGTTTCGTTACCCAGCTTCTGAGTTGAGTACATGGCATGACACTGTGAGCTGCGGATTTCATATGGAATGTTTTTCGACTGACCAACGTGGTGATGTGATTTGTAGATTCAGAAAATGGTGCGATGCCGGTTGTCGCAATATTGATGGGGCCATTATTTGATTAAAATTGATCGCGTGTGCAACTGCTGATCTCTTGGTGACCTCTGCTACCATCAATGATGAACTGCATTTCTAACGTCAGACTGTTTGTGTTAGCACTTCGGATGGCTACCATATGCTTTTAATGCGAGTGTATGCTAGATTTGCTGAGACAGCAGTTTGTCAGTCTTTCCACAAGGGAGTGTGATAAACATTCTGTGTTTTTTATGGCACCGGAGCGGAGCAAAGATGGGGTGACCCGTTTGCTATGAAGCTGAAATTAAAATTACCAGATTACCAGACCAAATATTTGTTCTTGTGCATCCATTAGCAGACCAAATATTTGTTCTTGTGCATCCATTAGCAGCCCAAATTGATTAAAATGTTTCCCCATGTGGGTTCTGGGGCTCCCATTTTGTGGGGAAAAAGAATGGACCCACTGCCCCCAACATGCATGTTGGAAAAGATGACTAATTATGAGTGTTTCCTTCCAAATCAAAGTTCATGTGCCTGAGAAGAAAGGAACCAGCCGTCTGCATATAAATAAGCCAGATATGTACAACAGATGTGCACACAAAACCCACGTTCTAGAACAAGACCAAAGTCCAGAGGTGGATGAACAACCAGAAATTTCCACCGAAATGTACAACTTTTTAATGCTAAGAAGAAAAATAAACTGTTTATTTCATTTCTTGAAAATATGAGTTTTGGCATGTGTCCAGACTTCAGGGACACCAGGCACAAAAAAACATTTTGTAAGGATAACCTGAATATAAGTGGAAGACCTGAAGGTCGTGGGTTCAAATCCACCTGGTTCCAGATTTCTTTGAAGCATGACTTTGGCTCCCAGGTCGACCCAGCCTTAAATGGATACCAGGTAAAAGTCCTGGGAAGTAAATGTGGCCGGCAAGATGTTGACGACATCACCCATAGAGCACCACATGGTCTATAAAAATATGAGTCTAGCCTGTTATGCCCGGTGTGTAAAGGGACCTTTACGTTGTGGGAGGTCAAAGCTTCAAGTCTAAATGACCTCTTCATTTCTGTCAAGGATGTTGTCATTGATGAGGGGATGGACTCAGAAGAAGAGATGGCCGCAGTAAAGAAAATGGCTGTACAGAAGAACAAGAAAAAATCAGGAGGATTCCAGTCTATGGGTAAATATGTTTTCTGGTTTGATTTTTTTGTCCCCATTACCTGCACAAATTATAACTAAAATGTTTCACATAGAGAAAGATCTTAGGCCATAGTTGACTTTTTCTGTTTGGCATCAAATGGAACCTCTTCTTCGCGTTCACTGACCTAAACTCAGTGGAAAGAAAGGTTCTGTTTGATATTTTTTTTTACGTCCACTTTTGAATTTTTTTTTTTTTTTTACAGAACTTGAGTTGTATGTGCACATCACTACCATATGGGTGGCAATTCAGACAGCTTTCTTCTTGCTACATCCATTTTAAAGATCTGACTTACTTGTATGCAGACTTTTGGTTTCTCCCCTCTCAGGTAGATTTACTCAGACTTCGAAGGATACACCCTTAATTAGTCCACTTGTACAACATACTTGGGGGGGGGGGGGGGATATTCTTCTTTCACCTAGAATGGGCCCTGGAACCTGTACACGGAATCAAAGCAATGTTTTTTGAGAAGGCCAAGTAACGGCTTTACTATCTAGATTTAATGGGAGAACGGGCAAGAGGGTATACTACGTCATCATTTTCCTCTAAATATCCCATCCACTATACAGAAACCATAGAAAAGTTGGTTCTTCTGAAAAGAATTGTCTTTAGTTGTATTTAGAACTTTTCTGAGTTAGAGTTTTCTGAGGAGGATGGATGTCAGAGACATCCAGACTGCTACCATAGGCACACACCCTCCTTCCCACCACCACCATTATCATCTTCTTCGTGTTCACCAGCTGTAAAATCTGATGGAAGGCTTTGGTTTTCCATCCACTTCTGGACTTTAGTCTTGTTCTAGAACTTGAGTTTTGCATACACATCAGTTTTACAATTGTGGCTTATTTGTATGCAGACTATTGGTTTCAGGCCTCTTGCAGATGCCCTCAGACTTCATAGAGAACTCCCCTAATTAATCAACTTTTATACACATTCATGGGGGAGGGGAGGGTCTATTCTTTCCCCCCCCCCCCCCCAAAAAAAAACCCGGGTGCCCAGCACCTATATGGGGGAGGGGGGGGGCCTTTCATGTATTAGAGCCAACATTGTTTAATTATTTTCATTGTTGCCATTTTAATAAATGTGATGTGTACCACGAATGAATAGCTAAAATCTTGTTAATGAATGTTGGAATTGTGAATTCAGGTCTGTCACATGGTGTGCTCAAAGGCATTCTGAGACGGGGCTACAAGGTTCCAACACCCATCCAGAGAAAGGTTAGTTCTGCTTTATTCCACCTGCCACTGACACTGACACTTACTCAGCAATGATTTGAGAAAACAATGGTGCCTTTGCTGTGAATTGAGCTCCGATCTATGTCTACCATTATTGCAGCCATGAAACCATCTTAATGTGCAATCACTATGTGCAAGTTATGTTTGTTAAAACTTACAATAGTTGAAGGTTAGTGAATATTCTATCAAATTTTTTAGAATGGAATCTTATGCTGAAACTTTGGCTCATCAGAGATGTGTAGCGGAGAATAGAAAATGGTCGGCAGAAACGGAATTTATCAACTGTTTAAAGTATTAGTAACTAATGGCATCATGAGGGCCAATCACGAATTTGGGTTCCTTGTCCCTCAGACAGATGTACTCCAACTTAGAAACAACCGTGGATCCTTTCTGCATTGGCTTGGCTCTCAGCTAGGAACCTTTTTCTAGAATGACCATATAGTGGTGTAGAAAGCTCTTGACTAGCATGGGCCCTAGTGCGCCACCTCATGCGGTTCGGCACACTGCATTCCACCAACCTGGTTTCTTCTGGCTACTTGTCAGTGCTTACATATCTGTAATAATCTGATTTATCCACAGACCATTCCAATAATTCTCGAAGGCAAGGACGTTGTGGCTATGGCTAGGACAGGCAGTGGAAAAACTGCAGCTTTCCTGGTGCCCATGTTTGAGAAATTGAAGACCCATTCATCACTTGGCACCCGAGCCATCATTCTGTCACCGACACGAGAGCTGGCATTACAGACTTTAAAGTTTGCGAAAGAGGTAAGGACAAGTTTGATTTTCCCCACTGAATCTAAATTAATCTGTTCCAGAGTTCGACAAAGTCACAATTTTAAAATAAATTTTCCTGCAAGCAGTACACTGTAAATATAGTAACAACCGATGATCATATTTATTTTTAAAAAATATATGAAAACATTGTATTTACTGTCCTTGATCAAAATGGTGACACAGCACTAGAAGTAGGATTAGGACTTCTGGGAGATTGGAAAGTGAATTACTTCGCATGAGAACATAAGGAATCATTTGGGGTGTTTCTGATCGTAGTCTTTCCCCAAATTAGGATCATCATTATCATAAACCACTTCTGCCATTTAGCATCGTGGGGAGGAATAATTTGCGATCCAGTGCACGCTGGCTGCCAATGACTGTTGTCATGCCTTGAAGGTGTAGAGGGTCTTTGATGTTGTAAATCCATATTTCTGCGGCCGTCCTCTTGCTCTTGAAGCTGATCCTCTGAGATGTAGTGCTTGTGATGGTATTTGATCTTGCTGCATTCTAACGAGATGACCAAACCACTTGATCTGTTGTTTCTTGATGATTCTAGTAAATGTGCCGTTTCCACAATTTGTCTGATAGTTTCATTATTCACTTAATCTCGAATGGTTAGGCTGGCAGCTTTTCTCAGGCATCTCATCTCGCAGGTGGTGATTTTATGTAGATGGACTTTAGATAAGTGTCCATGTTTGGCACTGGTAGCTTAATGTTGGAATCATAGTGCTTTTTATAATCTGGCTCTTTGTCATATTAATGTTTGGATGTCTTAATAATGTTGACAGTTGAGTGCCACCTCTTAATTCTTCTTCTTCGCGTTCACCAGCTGTAAACTCTGGCGTAAAGTTCTGGTTGTTCATCCACTTCTGAACTGCAGTCCTGTCCAGAACCTGAGTGTTGCGTGTGCATCAGTTTTACAGATCTGATTCTCATCCTCTGAATGTAGTGCTTGTGCTGGTTCCTTGCCTCTCAGGCAGATGTTGTTTCCGACTAGTCAAAGGAAGTTTCCCAGTTAGTCGACTCTTACGACATGCTTTTGGGGAGGCAGTGGGTCTATTCTTGTTTTCCCTACAATAGGGCCCCGGAACCCACATGGGGGACCTCTTAATTAATTTCTTGGGTTTCCGACCCCAGGGTATAAAGATCTTGGATTTCAGCAGGGCCAATCTCTTTTCATAGTAATGATAGGATGTCTTAATAATGTTGACAGTTGGTGCCACCTCTTAATTAAACCCCCCCCCCCCCCCCCCCCCCCCAAGAAATTAATTCCTGATGCTGCTGGTGGTGATGGTGCTGAAAATCTGGCATTGTCACCTGGCCGGCGTGTGCCCGGCATTGGGTTTCCAAGACGAGTTCTGGCAAAATTTACTTGATAGTTTCAAGTGAATTCCAAGTTTGAATTTTGAAGCTTTCAGATTCTGTTGTACCACTGTATACCCCAAAATATTTGCTGTCCATTCTTTCACTATCATCATGTGCCATGACTATATCTGTGGGTTGATCGGTTTTGGAAAGGTATGTTACAGCTAAGAAAACTCTCCTTTCTTGTGTGTCTACAGATTGGCAAATTTACTGGAATGAAGGCTGCTGTTGTGCTTGGTGGAGACAAGTGGGTTTTTTTTGGTTTGGTTTTAGGTTTAAGTAAAGTTTTCCAGCCCAGAAATATAGATTGCATGCAGTCGTGGGACTGAGGCTGTCAGGTAAGGGGGTTGGGGTAGAGCCAGTTCTACGTGTTTTCGGGCCATTAAAAGCGCTCACATCGTGGAAAATAGGACACGGCTATATCACCGCCCGCTGACAATAACCAGTAAAATATTACGGGTGCTAGACGCTCACTGAGTGTGACACGCCCACAACATAGGACAGGCCCTGTGATACGACAAGGCGTGAATGGCAAGGGAAGTCACTTGCTTTCTGGGCTAGAAAACATTACAAGCACTTTGTTTTATTCTTTTTTTTTTCTTATTGTGTTCAGTGAGTAATTAAATAATGATTCTGGCAGGCTGCAGAAGTTTTTTTTTGAGTGCTTTATCAATATCCTACCCCAAATAGGGGAAATCCGCATGTCACGGGGCAGTGTCATATTTTAGGGGGTGGTAGATAGGCTGCATGCAAATGTGAGACCTAGACTACACTCTCTCGTGGAACGTAGGTGGGTTGTCGTTAGGGCCAGTTCTAGATGTTTTGGGGTCGTTAAAGGCATCAGAAAGTCGAGAAACCCAGTCTTACCACCCTCTAAAGTGTTGGACTATCCTGTGACGTCATCTGGGGTAGGATATTAATAAAGAACCAGAAAGCCTTTAGTTTACTGCCAGAGTATAACTACACTGTAAATTTGTCCAGGGACGCTCTGTTTCTCCCCTACATGAGGTATAGCTTGCTGTGTCACACAGTTTTAAAACTTCCTACCCCACTTGTTATCTTATATAGTCATCACCTCGTGAGTAAAGGAAAAAAAGTAAAGGACATTTTTCCACGCCTTTGGGCATATAGGGCTAGACCTTTATTTTATAGACCAATCGGCACAAGATGTATGATGTGGTCGGCATCACGCTGGGAACATTTACTTCCCGCGACTGCACCCACTCAAGCCATTTAAAAAAAAAATCAGGCTTCTCCAGGGAGCGAACCTATGACCTTCTGAACTGCGATGAGGGTCTAGCCGCTCTGCCAAAGCGACTCCCCATCGCCTCGTGGGATACATTTTTTGTTTGAAGCCCCAACCTGGCTTCTGCCGGGGGCCCTCAGAATAGCCGGGGCTTAGATATGGCCCAATGGCTGAAAGGGGTTTCTGGGACCTCTCCACAGATGATCCTCATCCAAATGGTGGCACTTTGTGTCACTGGGTGTTTATCGCTTGTGTAATGTCCTGGTGGGGTACAATACCGAGCCCTTTCAAAACTTAGCAACGGTGTATTGTTATCTCCCCTGTAGTGTTCTTGACAATTTGGGATTGTGGAATTGTGATCTTTCAGATAGAAAGCTTGTTCATTCATGCTTACATTCCTCTGGAAACTTCTGTATATGGATGTAAGCATGGCCAAACACATTAGAATAAGCTATGCATGAAATCCGTTGGCTAAAACTGATCACGCGGGCATCTGATCCTCCAAGATGGCCAGTTTGATCAATTTTGTACATAGACAACAATTGATGATGGGAATTGACAAATGCCTTGCTCCGAGAAACTTATCTTCCAGTCAGCTGCTCAGTGGTAGAAATCTCTTTAAGTCTACAACTGACAAATGCTCGTAAGAAAAGTCTACCAAAAAGACGTAAACATTACATAAAATCCCCTGTGTGGGTTCCGGGGCCCCATTGTGGGGAAAACAAGAATAGACCCACTGCCTCCCCAAAAGCATGTCGTAAGAGTCGACTAATTGGGGAGCTTTCTTTGAAGTCGGAGTGCATCTGCCGGAGAGGCAAGGAACCAACAGTCTGTATTCAAGAGAATGAGATCTGTAAAACTGATGCACACGCAACACTCAGGTTCTGGAGCAGGACTGCAGTTCAGTAGTGGACGAGCAACCAGAACCTTCCGCCAGAGTTTACAGCTGGTGAACGCAAAGAAGAAGAAGAAGATTACAGAAGATTTGAATGCAACCCAGCTAAACAGCACCTGGGGTTTTTGACTCAATGATTTTGTACCATCATATTCTTCTCAGAGTTGTGGGAGTGACTCTTCTATTGCAGAAAAAACCCAAAGTCAGTTTAAAGGCAATATGTATGAATACATGAACCCACTGAATTTGACACTGACGTGAGCATAATCGTCTGTTTTTGTGCCTGTTATCAGTTAACTTTCTTTTTCAGAATGGACGATCAGTTTGCAGCCTTGCACGACAACCCCGACATGTAAGTTGTCACCATCAGTTATTTGCCTATCTTGTACAGGACGTTGCAGAACCAACCCCAGCATTTGTTGGCTGGTTTTTTTTCACTAGGCAGCTTTATAGTAGTTTACCATTGCTTCCTGAATAATCAATTTCTTTTTACCCCTGTCAAAACCAACACAAGGTGGTGTGTTGCCAAATCATCCACGGTTGGAATCAAACTGGGTACCTCAGAATGGCAACGTTCATTTGCAACACCTGTGCCGCAGATGTCGACAAGTTGTCACCATACTTGGTACAAGTACAGATGACTTGAGTTCGTCTGGGTAAGGATTCAGCATCACAGCTTGGTGATTCAGGACAAGGCCATGTTAGCTCAAACTCACTCCTGAACAACAATCAAAAAGCCTCCACACCGATGGTGCCAGTTGTCAGCTTAATCGCTCAGCTTTCCCTTTTCCTGTTAAGGTTTAGACGAAGGATCAGCATCATGGTACAAGGGTAGTAACCTTTGTTTGTTTGTTTGTTTTAGTATCCAGAAGCCATGAGTTGTTAACCCTTAGGCTCGGTATTATGGATATCGCAACCTTTGGGCCTTGATTCCATTTTAAATACCGTAAATCTGGGAGAAATGTGGCTTTTCTGCCCACCCCCCGGGAGTGAACCCGGACCACAAGGAGTGCGTCACCCGCTCACCGCGCAATCCGGTTTAGCCAACTACGCTAGAGAGACGGGCGTAGTAACCTTTCAATGCTCCATTCTCTAATTCAAGCCTGAGTCCGAAGAATCTCAGCCTAGTGCACACACTTCTTAGCACCGGCAAAAACCCTGAAAGACATTGGGTAGATTTTTAACTCCAAATTTGCCCGGATAGCGCCGTTAGTCTACTCTTTTTTATTTCCAACTGCCAAGGGATTTTTTTTACATGTGCAACAATACACACGGGCGTCCTATCTTACTACTCAGAGACCAGGGGAGATTGAACACCTGGGCTTGAACCCGAGACCTTCAGCACTCGAGGCCGGCGCTTTCTGTTCATTTTTGGTCTTCCTCTATTTCTTTAGGCCTGTGGGTTCCAGAGACAATGCTTTCTAGTTATACCATTGTCCAATTTTTCTCAATGTGTTTTATCGAGTGCCATTGCTTTTCTCGTCTCTTGATTCGCTTTAATTTGTTAAATGTTTAATTCAGGCACCATCTAATGAATTTTTGTATTGTTTAATAATTCTCTTAGTCTTTATGTTTCTGATGTATACAGATTCATTACTGAATTTAAATATGTGTTTAATGAGGATTATCACAGGACTCTGGGCAGACCCATAGGTGCTTCGGTCTCATTCTCAGTAGTTCCATAAATGTAAAACAACTGATGACAGCTGTTCTGTGTTGTGTAATCAAATACCTTGTCCCCTTGGTGACATGTTCGGTTCTTGATATTAGTAGTCAGTCAGTCCGTGTTTCAACTTTGCTGCAAACCGATCTCTCCATAATTGCTGCTTTCCTTTGCCAGTGAAAATCAAATGAAATGCTTCTCACAGTGCCATTTAAAAACTAGTAAACAAACAGTTATTTATGCCAGGCAAAATCCATAAACGTGCATGTTCTGTCAATGCAATAGCCAGCTGTTAAAGCTGCAGGATAAACAGTTGCCGGCACAATTGATAGTAGTAGTCACGATGGTATAAACACGACAATTGTTTTTCATATGTGTTTTCAAATGAAATTAATGTGAGACTTTTAGACAAATTGTTCAGTTAGAAATGATTCTAGGACAGTTACAACAAGCTGTTTAAGAATTTAATTGTTGAAATGCAGGAGAAAGAAGAAAAAAAAGGAGAAATTACAACTAACTCCTCTTTGCGGAGCTTAATGGCATAAGCAGTTGGATAGAAGAAGTTAGTCACGGCAAGCTGGCCATTCACAAGTGATATTACTGCATAAGGCACTTCACCAGCCTAAATGCTATAATGTTGATTTTTAATATCACTTGCTTTGTCTGTATCATTTTATGTGGGGGTTGAGCTTTGTAAGAAGTGCTCATGTGTCTTCTTAAATATGCAGAATTATTGCCACACCTGGACGTCTGCTTCATGTGCTGGTTGAGATGGAAATGCGTCTGAAAACTGTGGAGTACGTTGTCTTTGATGAAGCCGACAGGTAAGTTATCTGTAGGGTAGAAATAAGTGTTATTTAGTGAGTATATGCAGATTAGAGAAAAAAAGACGTAGATGACGTTTTTTGGACATATTATGACAGTGAATAGACTAGAATTTATTGATTAATTGAGATTAATTGCAAGAGTAAGAGGTAATTACATGATTGGTTAAGCTAAATGGATGGGCAAGAAAAGAACACTGGCCTGATCCATGAGTCTGCTGATCATGTGGAATGAGGAAACAAGACAGCCTGTGCTTATCAGCATGGCACACAATGATGCTGATACTGTGCACATTAATATTTATTTTCACATATTTGCTTTTATGCTACTAAACAGAAGACATGTTAGTTAAATGAAGGTGTAAAAATAATAGTAATGTGGGCAACAGTGGCATTCACATGATCTGCCAGAATTCACTGTTTGATGTTAGATTCACTGTTCTATGTATTGCCAGGTTGGCCATTTTCCCTTTGTCACCTTTTATTACATCTGTGGTCAGTTACAGTGTTATTATTCTTTCCTTTCAATATGTTTGTCAGTAAAACATGTTACATTACAGTGTTGTTCCTTCCTTTCCTTGTGGGTTCCAGTAACACATGGTACATTACAGTGTTATTCCTTCCTTTCCTTGTGGGTTCCAGTAACACATGGTACATTACAGTGTTATTCCTTCCTTTCCTTGTGGGTTCCAGTAACACATGGTACGTTACAGTGTTATTCCTTCCTTTCCTTGTGGGTTCCAGTAACACATGGTACATTACAGTGTTATTCCTTCCTTTCCTTGTGGGTTCCAGTAACACATGGTACGTTACAGTGTTATTCCTTCCTTTCCTTGTGGGTTCCAGTAACACATGGTACATTACAGTGTTATTCCTTCCTTTCCTTGTGGGTTCCAGTAACACATGTTACATTACAGTGTTGTTCCTTCCTTTCCTTGTGGGTTCCAGTAACACATGGTACGTTACAGTGTTATTCCTTCCTTTCCTTGTGGGTTCCAGTAACACATGGTACATTACAGTGTTATTCCTTCCTTTCCTTGTGGGTTCCAGTAACACATGTTACATTACAGTGTTGTTCCTTCCTTTCCTTGTGGGTTCCAGTAACACATGGTACGTTACAGTGTTGTTCCTTCCTTTCCTTGTGGGTTCCAGTAACACATGGTACATTACAGTGTTATTCCTTCCTTTCCTTGTGGGTTCCAGTAACACATGTTACATTACAGTGTTATTCCTTCCTTTCCTTGTGGGTTCCAGTAACACATGTTACATTACAGTGTTGTTCCTTCCTTTCCTTGTGGGTTCCAGTAACACATGTTACATTACAGTGTTATTCCTTCCTTTCCTTGTGGGTTCCAGTAACACATGTTACATTACAGTGTTGTTCCTTCCTTTCCTTGTGGGTTCCAGTAACACATGGTGCGTTACAGTGTTATTAGTCTGTCCTTTCATTGTTGGTCTCAGTAACACATAGTACGTACTTACTTACTTACTTAGTCGCTCCTCTTCTACCTTGGGGTGTAGAGGTTTGCCAGAGAGAAGGCCAGACGTCTCTATCAGCAGTTTTCTTTCTGGCTTTGTTCCATTCCAGTCCTCTGACAGTTAGGGACTGGCGGATGTTGTCTTCCCAGAGCACCCTGGGTCGTCCTGGAGGTCTGGTTCCCTGGTTCTTAGCCTCCCATGCCTGCCATGGTGGCCGATTTTCTCCCATTCTGCATACATGTCCAAACCATCGTAACTGTGACTGATCCACTCAGGTTTGTAAGGACTGGGTATCAAGATCTTGACGTATTGTCTGTTTGCGGACTTTGTCCCTTCTTGTCACTTGGACCACCTTTCTCAGTTATCTCATTTCCGAGGCCTGCAGCTGGCTTCTGTGAGCTGTTGTCATTGCCCATGACCCACACCCATTGGTCAGGACTGGTACATAGGTAGAGCGGTAAACAGCCATTTTCGTCCACTTGCCAATTTCTCTTTTGCTGAGAAACCCTCGGTTTATGGCCTGGAAGAGTCTCCCAGCAGCTGCTTTTCGTGTAGCCAGCTCAGTCTTAATGCCTCCATTTCGGTCTAATACAACTCCACATAGTACGTTACAGTGTTATTCCTTCCTTTCCTTGTGGGTCCCAGTAACACATGGTACATTACAGTGTTATTCCTTCCTTTCCTTGTGGGTCCCAGTAACACATGGTACATTACCATGTTTTTCCTTCCTTTCCTTGTGGGTCCCAGTAACACATGGGTGATATGGATTGGGTAATTCAGGAGTAACAGTTATGTATTACTTTTGCTTTCTACTGAGGGAAGCTGAGTGCCCAGTAAACTTGTTGAACTTTGAGAAACATGTTGGTGACTGCTGCCCTGAGAGAGGCACCTGACTTCATCCTGTGCTACTTGCAGGTTGTTTGAGATGGGTTTCAAGGACCAGCTGCAGGAGATCATCCACAGGTTTGCTGACTCCAGACAGACAGTGCTGTTCTCCGCCACACTGCCCAAGACACTGGTGGAGTTTGCCAGGGCTGGCCTGACAGATCCAACACTGATTCGCCTAGATGTAGACACAAAACTCAATGAAAACTTGCAGGTATGGGACTTTGTAAAAGTTTGTTGGTCATCATCTCATCCTGTCCTGCAGTTAAATACTACAAAGGGCTTGTAGTCTGGTCCTTAACTACATGCTATCCTGTGCAATCCTTTAGATATCATGGATGAAGTCCAACCCAGCACAGCACATTTGGCTCCTCTAAGCAATGTTTAGTTTAAGAATTCACTTGGACGTCCTCTGTCCATCTTTTCTCTGTGTATTATGTATTAGTTCGTGTTTGTTTTGTATGAGTTCATTGTTTGTGCAATTAATTTCCTCTGATGACCAGTACTGATGACCAACAGTGAGTACTGATGACCAGCACTGAGTACTGGTGACCAACAATGAGTACTAGTGACCAACAGTGAGTACTGGTGACCAACACTGAGTACTGGTGACCAACACTGAGTACTGGTGAACAACACTGAGTACTGATGGCCAACACCGAGTATACCGAAACACTCAAAACTTGTAGACAGAGTGGTTGAGTTGTATCTTCTTGTTGTTTGCATTCACCTCGTCTCTAAACTCAGTGGAACATCCATTTCTGGACTTTTTAGTCTTGTTCCAGCACTTAAGTTTTGCTGCGCATCCATTTTACATATCTGGCTCATTTATATGCAGACTGGATCCCTGGCCTCTCAGGCAGATGTACTCCGACTTTCAAGGAAATACCATAATTAGTCACCTCTCAAACATGCTTATTGGGGGGGGGGGGGGTGGAGGCTGGTCGATTGGTTTTTTTTTCTCCCTACAGTAGGCCCGGGAACTCACATGGAGGCTTCACTGGGTAACCTCTAAATGTAACTTGTGCAGACTAGGAATATTTTCTACTACATGGCTGTGTGTTTTGACAAAAATATGGTGTATTCTCCACCTCCTACTCCCCCCCCCCTCACCTCTACTCTCTTGCTCCCCTTTTTTTCTCCCACTTCAGGCCGGCGGTAGTGGATCAGAATCTAGTCTACTCATGCATACAAGGTCCCCATCCCAAAAGAGCAGGTGATTATCCCATTCCCATATGGACTGGTGCTAACGGAATAGGAATTCTTCGCATGCTGCTGAAGATGGGGACGGAGCCCTTATGGGGGATGTCCTGAGTGCTGTGATGTTGATTCCTAATTCAGCTTGTGGACAGGCACCACAGAATACTGAACATATACTGCAGACATGCTCTCTACACGCAGAAGGGAGATCCCAGTTCTGTCCAGGTGGCATTCCAATAGAAACCACGTTGTATGTGTCATTGGAGGACATACGTCACACCACAGCCTTCATAGAGACATACAGCCTTCTCATCTGCAAACCACTGGCAGGGGGAATGGAAAGAAGAAGAGATGATTTACATGTATTATGAGACAACCCTGGAGTCGTTTGCTGTATGGAAAAGAAAGTTACGTGAGCTGGATATTTATGTAGTAGTAAACCATTAAATTACATTCTTCCCTCATATGATGAGAAGGAGATAATTGGAGTACATTGTGTCAGTAGCAAAGTTGAAGGACAGGAGAGGCACAAAAGATGCTGGACTGTTTGATATAGCATGGAGGATCATCTGTGTCAGAGTTGATTGAAAGTACATGGGACAGAAGGTTGTGGATAGACATGACTACCAACACCACACTGCGTGGATTTTAAGAAGAATAATAAACCATTAATGCAGTTTTGTTCTTGAAACCATGTCATGCATGCATTGTTTTCTTCTCCTGCTAGTTATCATTCTTCTCTTGTCGAGATGCTGACAAGTGTGCCTTGCTGCTCTACCTCTTGAAGCGTGTCATCAAGCCTACCGAGCAGACAGTTGTCTTCGCTGCAACCAAACATCACGTGGAGTACCTCAACTTGGTATGTTCATCTCATAATGATAAGATTGGTTCCACAGAAACCTGCTCTTATCCTCTTTTTTCTACTTCTTCCTTTTTCTTAGCATTCACTAGCTGTAGGCTCTGTTGGTGAATTGATACATGACGAGGCAGATGTGGTCAAGGCCCTTTGGGAACAAGCAACGGAATCAGTAGACAAAGAAGATTATTATGGGCTGGAGAGAATGAGGCCCCTGGGTGTAACCAGAGGGTCTGGCCTGCTCACTACACTCAGAGGAAAGGCAAGACGGACATAAAACTGGATTGTGACCGCTACCATGGGTATTGGAACTATGCGCTGGCTGCTGAAGATGAAGACGGAGCATGCATGGGAATTCCCCAAGTGCTGTGATGATGTCAATTCTTGACTCATCTTTGGCGGACAGTTCTGATTATTTTGTTTCTTTCTGGACTTATGACCATGCGCCAGAATCTGAGTTTTCCATGCATATTTCCGTTTTACAGATCTGGCTGATTTGTGTGCAGACTATTTGTTCCTCACCTGTCAGACGGGTGCACTCCAACTTTAAAGGACGCACCTTATTTTGTCGCCATTTACAACATGCTTGGGTGGGGGGTTGAATCTGTTAATTTCTCACGAACCCACATACAGAGACTGCTTTTATTATTGTATATGGGAACTAAGTGGCTGCAGTAAAGCTATAAAACCTTTTTTTTTTTAATGTGTGGGTAATTTGTGTGTGTGTAGAGGAGTGGTTGGCCAAGTGATAGATCACTGGACTTTCATTTGAGAGACCTAGTTCAAGTCTCAAGTAGGTTTTTTTTTTTTCTTTCTCTGTTTGTTGGTGGCAGAATAAAAATACTAACCTGCACAGTTCATGGCAACAGCACCAACCATTCGACCTTGACTTCTCCGGCTGATGATCCCAGCCCCACCCCCCTCATACACCACCTTTAAAAAACAAAAGAGTAAAAAGAGGCGACAAAGGCTTTTTTAAAAATACTGTTGTTTTATATTTTGGGGTCAAGAAAAATGACTCCTTGGGGAGATCAAGTGCATAATGGAGATGTAAAAGGTAAAGGACCCTTGTTCCCACACCTTTGGTTGTATAGGGCTAGGCCTATATTTTGTAGACTAATAGGCACTCAGTGGGAGATATGACCTTTACTCCCCAGAACGGTCCCTGGTACTCATTTAAAGCTGGGTGGACCTGAGAGCCAAAGTCATTTTTGAAAAAGGTCCAGCTCTGTCAGGAACCGAACCCACGACCTTCTTATCTGTAGTGGAGCATCTAGCCACTATACTGCGATGGCCCCCTCAGAATGAAGATGTCTTCATAGAAATTGATGAATTCACAAAGATAACTGATTACCTGACCCTGAGAAAAGCAGTTTGCGTTCTATTCCTTAGGCATGCCATAACAATATGAAAATTGTAAGAGGAAAGAAACAAGAGAGGACCATTAGACAGGATGTTAGGATAGATGGCCAAAACAGAAATGCCATCCATAAAACAAAGCATGTCATCCAAACAGGCACTTTTGTCTATCATCACCATCATGTGCCCTGCCACTGGCTTAGGAGCTCATGCGTCTCCACAGATCACGATCCCTGGTTGCCTGGAACAGCTCTCTTGATGATATCCCTCCTATGCCATTGTTTCAACCCATCTAGCATCATCTCTCTTGGTCTGCCTCTGTCCCTTTTTCCACAGATCCTTCCAGTTGTCACGATGTTCTCCAATGTCTCTCTTCTCATTAAGTGGCCAAAGAACAGTGTTTGTCTCTTTCTTATTGTTGTAAATAGAGATCTACTTTCATTAGCTTCTTTCAATCAATCGTTGTTAGGATTTCATGACATTCGTCTCAGAAACCACATCTCTGATGCTTCCAAATTCTTCTGTGTCTATGGTGTGGCAAAATTGTAACGCAACCTGGTCAGCAGACTTGCCATTTAGTTTAGCTAGTGAAAGTTGCATTGTTACATATGCAGCATGGAGCCAGGGATAAACATTAATTTTGTTTCAGACTCAGAAAATTGCTCTTGTATACTTGTTACATGTGTATGTGTGTGTATATATAGATATGTGTCTGTATATATATATATATATATATATATATATGTGTGTGTGTGTGTGTGTGTGTGTGTGTATAAATACGTGTGTATAAATATATACATATATATATGTGTTTGAGTGCATTTGTCGTGAGATACTGAGTTTGGTTGATCTCCTCCCCAGCTGCTGACAATGAGTGGCCTGAGCGTCACTTATATCTACAGCTCCCTTGACCAGGCTGCCAGAAAAATCAACGCTGCCAAATTCTCTCTGGGGAAAGTGAAGATCTTGCTGGTGACTGACCTTGCTGCCAGAGGCATAGACATCCCTCTGCTGGACAACGTCATCAACTTTCACTTTCCAGCAAAACCCAAACTGTTTGTGCATAGAGTTGGTAAGTATTGACGCCCCACTCATGGTCTTGTCTTATTTCTCTAGGGGGCAGGTGATTCTTTTGAGTGGGTTCTGGGGCACATGATAAACTCACTGCCCTTCTGACAACCATGTCTTAAAAGGCAACAAATTAGGGATGTTTCCTTTGAGGTCGAAGTGCAACTGTCTGAGAGGTCAGGAATTGTACAAAAATGCCATATCTGTAAAATGCATGTACTCAAGTTCCGGAAAAGGACCAAAGTCCAGAAGTGGACGAGCAACCACAACTTTCCATCAGTTTACAGCTGGTAAATGCTAGGGAGAGGATGAGGAAGGCAATCTGTTATATCTTTAATCCATCTTTTGATGTATATTTTTATCTCATTATTTCGCCTGGCTCTCTAGCGAAGTTGGTTAAACCGGACTTTCGCGGCGGCCGGGTGACGAACTCCTTGTGGTCCGGGTTCACTCCCGGGGGTAGGCAGAAAAGCCACATTTCTCCCAGATTAACGGTACCTATAATGGAATCAAGGCCGAAGGGTTGCGATATCCATAGTACCGAGCCAAAGGGTTTACAACTCATGGTTTCTGGATACGTAAAAAAAAAAAAAAAAATCTCATTATTTCAACACTTGGAATCTCTGATCATATGGTGGCTAGATGCCCGTCTGCCTAAAGGTTAGGGGTCAGGGATTTCTTTTCCAAAACTGACCTTTCTTCCAGATCAACCGAGCCTTAAGTGGGTACCAGGTAATGTTCGGGAAGTAAAGGCAGGCAGCCTGATGCTGACCACAAGGTTCGTCGAGTGCTGGTTCGACTGTAAAGGTGTTTAAAGTGTCTTTTGCGTGCTTGCTTTACGTAATTCAGCAGTAATTAACACAGTACATTTTATCTAGGTCGTGTGGCCAGGGCTGGTCGTAGCGGACGGGCGTACTCTTTTATTGCACACGATGAGCTGGCACATCTCATTGACCTGCACATGTTTCTTGGCAGACCTCTGAACCTGGTGCCACTTAATGAGACAGTAGAAGGTGAGTACGACGACAGTTATTTGTGACCTTTGCACTTCGTCTTTTTTTTAGATACCTGTGTTGAGCACTTTAACATTCTTCATACAACATATAGATTGTTCTAGTTGGAACATTGAAATATCACATGATGTTCTAGTTGGAACATTAAAGTGTCACATGATGTTCTAGTTGGAACATTGAAATATCACATGATGTTCTAGTTGGAACATTGAAATATCACATGATGTTCTAGTTGGAACATTAAAGTATTACATGATGTTCTAGTTGGAACATTGAAATATCACATGATGTTCTAGTTGGAACATTAAAGTATTACATGATGTTCTAGTTGGAACATTAAAATATCACATGATGTTCTAGTTGGAACATTAAAATATCACATGAACACATTGCTCACAAGCTTATATTATGGACTCAGATAATGCATGACACAATTTATTAATTTACTGGGTGGCATATTTCACTGTATATCTTCAGCTGCATCACTATCTAGTTGCATCCAGGGCTTTTTTTCTTAAAATACAGCACCAGTATTCATCACAAAGTGTCCATTACAGTACTAGATGGGTTGACTGCTGGTTATGTGTTTTTTTCTCTAATGAAGTTTGAACAACGGATCAACATCATGGCACACGGGTAGTAACCCATAAGTGCTCCGTTCTACCTCTAACTTGAGTATGAATCGGAAGAAGCTCAGCACAGCGCACAGGCTCTGTAGCACTCGCGAGGATCCTGAAATACTTTGGGTAGATTTTAAGCTCCAAATTTTGCCCGAGCAGCGCCGTTTGGCTACTCTTTTTTATTTCCAACTGCCAAGGTTTTTTTTACGTGCGCAACAATGCACGCAGGCGTCTAATCTCACTACCCAGATACCGGAGGAATTACTAGAAGTCCAAGTTCATGTGAAAAAATCCAAGCACTCATCGGGGATTGAACTCAGAACCTCTAGCACTCAAGATGGACACCATGCCCGGAGACCACACAGCGCCACGATTTTTTTTTCTAATGGAGTTTGTTTTTGTTTAATCTTACAGATAAGGATGGTTGTCTGGGGGAAGTTCCACAGAGTTTACTGGATGATAAGAATGCAGACGTGACTCAGCTCCACGGGGAGTCCATTGACTTGGTCAGTTGTGAGCAAGAATTTTTAAATGTTTGAAATATAAAATGCAGAGAATCTCTGTGTGGGTTCCGGGGTCCTGTTATAGGGAAAACAAGAACAAACCCACTGCCTACCCAAAAACTTGTTGTAAGAGTCGACTAATTGGGAGCTTTCTTTCGAAGTCGGATTGCATCTGCCTGAGAGGCAAGGAACTAACAGTCCGCATACAAATTAATCAGATCTGTCAAACAAATGCACACGCAACACTCAGGTTCTGGAACAGGACTGCAGTCTAGAAGTGGACGAACAGACAGAACTTTCCGCCGGAGTTTACAGCCGGTGAAGAAAATGCATAAAAAACCTTGAGAAATCCTTGAAGAACCCATTGAAAAATGTTAGTGAATTTGGCTAAAAACCCTGATACATCTAGGTTGTATATAATTTTTTAGATTATCTTCACAGCACTCCAGACACATCCATAGGCACTCAGATTCCCCTTTCAATATATTAATCAGTGTCACGCGGTTAATAGTGCCAGCACTGTGTTGGTTAACCATACTTTGTGTGCGTCCCGTGTGCTTCTCATGCTTGGCTGTGCCGATGTTTACTTCCAATTCTCGTATTCTTAGCAGTGATGTGAACATGGTGCTTCCAAAATCCTCAGAATGTCCTATCTCTCTGAGGGCAAGGACAATGTCTGCGTGATCCATGGGCCGGCCATCTTTAATTAATGCAGCCTCTGCGAGAATGTCAGCTCTTTCATTACCAACAACGCCTGCTGCGATAGGACGAATATGAAGGTAACTGCACACACAGGAGAGTTTTGCAACGACTGCATAACCAGCCTGCCTCGACTCGCCGGATCATGCTCAAAGAATCACTCAGCACACACTCACGGGAATAGTCCTGTGATCCCAACCACATGAAAGCCTGTGTCACCGCCATCACCTCCATCGTCATGCTGCTGGTGGTCATGGAGAAGGCACCGCTGGCTTCTTGAACTCTTCTGCCTGAATAGCAAGCTGTTAATGCCCATGCACTTATTTGAATGCATGTGGGTGGTATAGGAGTCTGCTGTAGGCAAGACTTTAACAGATGTTTAAATAAATGGGAGGGGCATATGATCTGCTGTAGGCAAGATATTATAAATGTTTGAAAAATGGTTGTGCTATAAGGTCAGCTGTAGGCAAGACTAAATAAATGTTTAAATAAATAGTTGTGCTGTAAGGTCAGCTGTAGGCAAGACTAAATAAATGTTTGAATAAATAGTTGTGCTGTAAGGTCAGCTGTAGGCAAGACTAAATAAATGTTTGAATAAATAGTTGTGCTGTAAGGTCAGCTGTAGGCAAGACTGAATAAATGTTTGAATAAATGGTTGTGCTATAAGGTCAGCTGTAGGCAAGACTAAATAAATGTTTAAATAAATAGTTGTGCTGTAAGGTCAGCTGTAGGCAAGACTAAATAAATGTTTGAAAAATGGTTGTGCTATAAGGTCAGCTGTAGGCAAGACTAAATAAATGTTTGAAAAATGGTTGTGCTATAAGGTCAGCTGTAGGCAAGACTAAATAAATGTTTGAAAAATGGTTGTGCTATAAGGTCAGCTGTAGGCAAGACTAAATAAATGTTTGAATAAATGGTTGTGCTGTAAGGTCAGCTGTAGGCAAGACTAAATAAATGTTTGAATAAATGGTTGTGCTATAAGGTCTGCTGTAGGCAAGACTTTAACAGATGTTTAAATAAATGGGAGTGGCATATGGTCAGCTGTAGGCAAGACTGAATAAATGTTTGAATAAATGGTTGTGCTGTAAGGTCAGCTGTAGGCAAGACTAAATAAATGTTTAAATAAATGGTTGTGCTATAAGGTCAGCTGTAGGCAAGACTAAATAAATGTTTGAATAAATGGTTGTGCTGTAAGGTCAGCTGTAGGCAAGACTGAATAAATGTTTGAATAAATGGTTGTGCTGTAAGGTCAGCTGTAGGCAAGACTAAATAAATGTTTGAATAAATGGTTGTGCTGTAAGGTCAGCTGTAGGCAAGACTAAATAAATGTTTGAATAAATGGGGATTGTATAGGGATCTGGGAGTCGTTGTGGTGTAGCGGCAAGACACACACCTGCTATAGGTTGTGATATAAGGTCAGTTAAAGGCAAGACTTTATAGATGTCTGAATAAATGAGAATGGTCTAGGGTTCAGCTGTAGGAAAGATTTTATACTAATCAATTATAGACATACCAATAAAGATAATAAACATCAAAGCAGTGTTTGAGGGTTCAGAGTGTGCAGTGCACACAGATGATAGTTTAAGTAGAAGGAAACAAAGATGTTTTATCTCAGTCTTATCTGGCAAAAAAAGTTGACTGGGTGATATTGTTCTTCTAAGAAAGAACTGCAGTGACATGCAAAGAGTAACAGATAATTGAACAGATTTAACATCCAGGCTTGGATTACAGATCAGTTAAAAAAAGAAAAGACGAACATTTTAAAGATATCAATAACAGATCAAGGTGTTGTCTGACTGGAGGGAAAGATAATTTTATTTATATATTTATTTTTTTCTCCCGAACAATATGGATAATAATCGGTAAACGCGAATGGAGTGAAGAATCGAGTGAATTTCATTTTCCTGGGCGTAAAAAAATGTATTGGTTGACTCATACCGCGACCTAGTCATTATTTGAACACTACTGCCTACAGGGAAATTGCAACATCACACTGGCTTTAAAATAGCCCTTTTATTCTCAAGGAACACCCCCCTCCCGCCAATGCTGTTTTTAGTGAACTCAACCCTGTGCATAACAAACACAACCAGGGGCATTAACTAGACATCTCTTAAACGTGTGATTAGAAATGCTAGTTAGTGGCATTTATGTGAGGTTAGACCTTGCAAGAAGTGCCGAGTGTGTGGCTTCAGTCACTGTTTATTATTATTGTTATCAGCTCCCAGGTTGACCCAACCTTAAACAGGTACAGGGTGCAGTCCTGGGAAGTAAAGGCGACTGGCGTGATCTTGACCACATCACCTTCCAAGTGTCGCTTGGTCTACACAAAATATAGATCTAACCCTATATGCCCAGTACACCTAAAGGTTTGGAAAAGGGCCCTTTAACATATTTTATTTTACTGTTATCAAGTTAATGTTCATTATTATTTATGTAATTCTACAGACAAACCTGGTCCGTGTTTGTACCAACGCATATAAGAAGTACATCAAATCTAGGCCAGCTCCGGCTACAGAGTCTACGAAGAGGGTCAAGAAAATGGTCGAGGAGGGGGTCAAGTTGGGCATTCACCCCATGTTCAGTACGTTTGTATTACATCATCGTCATCATTAAGTGCCTTTCCGACTGGCATAGGCGCACATGCCTCTCCACAATCTGCAGTTCTCAGCAGCAAGAATCAGTTTGTGTGCTGTCATCCCTTCATGCTGTGACAAAAAGCCTCCAAGAATCTTCGTTTTTTTTTCCTTTTAATTCATCTTATCTCGGGGATTCTGAGATTTGGCAGGGGGGTGTTCCTGGAATAATCCAATACTGTAGGGGTGTAAAATTAACACTAACCCCCCCCCCCCCCCCCCCCTTTTTTGGTTTTTCTCAGGAGCTTCCCGTGAAATCTCGGTCCTTGAGATGGTGTGAACAAAAAGAAAAGTACTGTATCTTCTTGTGTGTTGTCTTACTCAATGTTTTGTCCCACAATCGTTTTAGTGGTCACAACATTTCCAGTTTCCTTTTCCTCCAAAATGACCAAAAATTATGACATTCTCCTTCTGTTGTTTGTGATAATTTGTCACCGAGCTCTCGCATCTTTCAGACCATGGAAACAGAAAGTAAGCAGCAATCTTGCACTGTAAGATTTTGAAACTCCAGGTGATAAAATAGGTCAGCAGAATGTCATTTCAGATCTCTGTCAATGGAAAGAGTCATAAGGTGTTGGCAGGATGTTTTCTGCAGTGAACCAAAAAAAGGCATGCACAATTTGGAAAAAGTGACAAATGGCCAGAATGAGAGACTTACATATTGAAATGAGTGCAAGAATTACATCTGTGTTTTTTCCCCTAGCAAATTTCACATTTTGTTGTGGGGCGGGTCTTATATGGCGACAAATAATGTTATATACTGTTATGCTAAGTGTTCACAAAGGGTATACAAATTCTTGGGAAACATCAAAAAAGAAGGACACAAACTGGTACTCTTCCGCAGCTTCAGCATCACCTGAACACTTCAGAGGAGGAAAGGGAAGATGAACATGCAAGCGGATCTTTTGGGCTTTTTACTCTTCTCTAAGATGGTTAGATGTTTGTTCCACTACCTCAGGGGGGAAAAGAGTGGAGGGGGGGGGGGGAAGTTCAAGCCAGGGAGAAACATAAAATCATTTCTGTGGTCCCAGTTTGGGTGGGAAAAGAGTGGAAAGGGGGGGAGTCTGAAATGTACAAATATTGACATTTTTGTTTTTGTTTCGACTACAGACGTGATAGCTGCATAAACGCTCATATTGGTCAAAGAGACGTTCTGTAGACCATTTATGAACCTATGCTCATAGAAGACAGGAGGTTAGATAGATGGAATAACATCTGTAAGGACATGTAAAAATGGAATTAGGAAGTATCTGGCAAGGAAGGACGTATGAGAGAAAGAAAGAGAACAACGTATGTTACAGGGGCTTGTTCTTTGTTCACTGGCTGTAAGCTCCAACAGAAACTCCTGGTTGTTTGGACTTCAACTTTTTGCCAGGGTCTACGTTTTGCGTGTAATCCATTTTACTGGCCCTTTTTTCTGTGCAGATGATTGTTTCCTGCCGTTCAGGCAGACGCACTCTGGCTTCAAAGAAGCTCCCAGTTAGTTGACTTTTACAAAATGCTTTTTTTTTTCTGGAAGAGGGGGGGGGGGTGGGTTGGGGGGTAGGCATTGGGACTGTTCTGGTTTTCCCGCAGTGGAGCCCCTGAAGCCCACAAAGGGGTGCTACGAGAACAGTTAGTATCTACACCTTAAGACATTTGCTGCAGGGGACAGGGCCTTTATTGGTATGCCCACTGCACTATAAAGTTGATTCTTAAATAACTAATCAAGACGTGAACCAACGTCGCAATGGAAGAAAACACACATTTGGAATCCCAAGCAAGAAAACGCAGTCCCAACATAACTGTGGCTCACTTTAGGAGCTGGTTAGGGAGACTTGAACTTCTGTTTTTTTTTTGTTGAACAAACGAACTAATCAGAATACTTACACAGACTGACGCACACACTCTGCTCTGATTGGCCAATGCAAAGTCTGCAGCTCACATCATCATGAATAGGAAGTGGTGCGGTGCAGGATGCCACACTTGCCAGATTCAAGTTAGAGACAAGAGAATCGTCTTCGTTGCACCAGGTTATCCAGATAGCTCGACCTCTCCATAGAATGGCTAACCACCTGTCAAAAAAATAAGATGTCTGAGAAGGGCTGCAGGAGGGGCCAGAAAAGATCAAATCATAAGTGAAGTCACATGAGACAAAGTCGGCATAGACCATTTACATACAGATTTGCAAACAACTTAGTGGGAATGTCTTGTGATGCCGTACTATACAAAGCATACACTGAAAGAGGAGAGGGATGTAGTTCACGAGGTAGACCAAGAACAAGATGGAATGATAACATCCGAGAAACTCTACAACAGCATGATATGTCTATGCTCAAAGTTGCTAGAAGAGCAAGAACCATAACTATTTAACCCTGAAGCAGTCAAAGAGGAAGTCAAGAAGAAGAAGCTGAAACCCTGCATACTCTGTTCCATCTTATAAATAAGTTGTCGGGTCCATCAGTGTCTCCCATTTTATTTGTTTTCAGTGTTTGCCGCAGTTTACAGCCATCATATCTTGTGCTTCTTTTGCAGAATCTGAGCACATTGAGGAACAAGGTGCCCGACTGAATTTGTTAAATGCCTTGAAAAATTATAAGCCTAAAACTGTAAGTTCTTGCTAAATGTGTGCTTATGTGGGTTTTGTTTTTGTTTTTTTTTGGTAAAACAAATATTGTCAACATATGTGCTTGGCTGAACTGAGTCAAGAGCCATTATCACAGCACTCAGCATCACTTTAAGGTCCCCTTTCTCCATCTTTACCGGGAAGAGTTGCATGTCTGATGGCACCAGTAACAGTCTGATTGTACGTGTGCCTGACCTTTCCCTCTCAGCGTAGAGTGTCGGCCAAATACTCTTATTACTCAACACTACTCCATTTTCTTCAGGCTGTGAAAATCTGTGCTTTTGCGCTGTTCACTCACTCCCACTCACGCCGACACCCAATACTCAGGGGGGAATGCATGATGGATATACAATCAGACTTATAGGAACTCTACACTTGCTGTTGAAGATGGGGACAGAGCACTTGACTTATGGGATTCTTAATTGACCCCACTCTAAAGGAAATTGACCACATCCAGCTTGTCACACACCAGTCTCGTCAACAAATAGTTGTCAAGGCCACACCAGTGTGGCAGTGTTTTCTATGGGACTACTTTGACCATTTTACCCCTTTCCTTTCGCACCAAGAAGCTGCAAAACCCACACTTCTGCTTTGTCACGGGCTCAAGCATAAATCGCAGTATACAAATTTGTTAGCCCCAAAGGGGTGTGACCAAATTAATTCTCTGCTGCAATAATTTGCTAATTAATTCTCTGCTGCAATCCTTTGCAAATTAATTCTCTGCTGCAATCCTTTGCAAATTAATTCTCTGCTGCAATCCTTTGCAAATTAATTCTCTGCTGCAATTCTTTGCAAATTAATTCTCTGCTGCAATCCTTTGCCGCATTCTTGTTTACTGATTATTTTTCTTATTCTCTTTGAGATAATGATATTTTGCTCCATAAATATAATTATATTGATTTCGTTTTTGTGACCTGTGTAATATGCTGTTTTTTTCTTTTTTTTTCTTAAGAATTTCCAAAATACAAGTAATTGACAATTTGTCTTCCTATAAAGTAACTTTTGTTAATTTCTTCTCCCGATAGACCATCTTTGAAATAAACAGTACCAGCAAGAAGTCCGGGCTGGAAGTGATGAAAGCCAAACGAGAGCAGCATGAACACATCCTGGTCACCAACGAGACTTTTCATCGGAAGGATTCTTCATCTTGGTCTGCTTTCTTTCCTACGCCAGGCTACGACAAGAAGAACAAAGAAGAAGTGATGGAAGCCGATCAAGGAGAAATTGATGTATGGCGTTGTGCTGTTTGGTTGTCAGTATTGTTTTTGTTGTTGATAGATCCTGTTGACGAGAAAGAGAATTCTTAAAAGCTATATAAATCCTATCTTGATTTAGGGAAGTGAATCATGGACAGTTGGTAAATTAGTTAAAACTTATTTGGAAGCTGTGGAGATGTGGTTTTATAGAGGAATCTTGAGAATACCCTGGACAGATAAAAGATTAATGAAGATGTCTTAAAAGAAGCTGACTGATTGAAGGAACTGATTGCGTACATCAGAAAGAAGCAATCTATATTCTTTAGTCATCGTAACAGTAGAAAAGTTGGAGGGGAGGAGAGGCAGAGGGAGACCGAGAGAACAGATGCTGGTCAATTTGATATCTTTTATGCAGGATCATCTGTGTCAGAGTTTGAGTGAAAGTACACAAGACAAAAGGTTGTGGATAGGCATGACTACCAACATCACACGGCATAGACTTTGGAAGACCATCTGTGTCAAATTTGATGGAAAGTACACGAGACAGCAGGTTGTGGATAGACATAACTACCAACACCCGCGGCATGGACTTTAAGAAGAAGAAATTCCATAGTGGGTTCCAAGGCCACCAAACAAGCATGTTCTGAGAGTCGACTGATAAGGGATGTTTCCTTCAGAATTGGAGTGCATCTGCCTGAAAGGCGAGGAACTAACAGTCTGCATACAAATAGTAAAATGTGTGTGCACACACAACTCATGTTCTAGTACAAGACTGAAGTTTAAAAGTGGACAGACAACCAGAACTTTCAGCCAGAACTTAATGAAAAAGAAGGAGAGTTGATAATTGTCTACAGTTCTTTTTGTGGATGTTTTTTTCCTACCTCCCTCTTGTTAACTTTTTTCTTATTCTTTTTGCTTTACATCCTCCTCATTCTTGTTCCTTGTTGTTTTTTTTTTATTTGCCTTTTCCTCTTGCTTCTACCTCCTGTTTCTGGTGACTGGCATCTTTCTCTTTTCTTTCTCTCTCTTTGTCTCTTTCTCTCTCTCTCTCTCTCTCTCTCTCTCTCTCTCTCTCGTTTTCTTTTTCTACGGTTTACATTTATTTGATTTCCTCTTGTCCTTGCCAGGCTGTGTTCGACTGTGTTGTGTCTTCCAAGCCAAAGTCTGGTGGTTCTTCAGCACAGAGGGGAGGACAAGGGAAACCCAAGCAGACGCAGCCAGACGTGGTTGACAAGGAGAACTATGTGCAGTACAGACCGTCTGATTTTGCTTCTGAAAAAGGGTGATTACATACTGACTTTCTGACTCATCTATTGATTTTCTGATTCATATACTGATTTTTCTGGCTTTTAGGCTGACTTTCTTAACTGAATACTGATTTTGAGACTAATATTCTGATTTGTATGCTGTCTTGTTTTTCTAACTTAAAACTGCTGTTTTTAACTAATTTACAAATTGCTATTCTGAGTAACTTGCAAACTGCTGTTTTGACTAACTCACTTAACAAACAGCTGTTTTGTCTAACTTGACTAATTTACAATTTGATTTTTTTGACTACTAACTTACTACTACTATTTTGACTTACGAACAACTGTCTTGACTATCCAGCTTAACAAACTGTCAGGACTTTCCAGCTTAACAAACTGCTGTTTTGACTTTCTACTTACAAACTCTATTTTGAGTATCTAACTTACAAACTGCTGTTTTGACTTTCTAACATTAAAAACTGCTCTTTTGACTTTCTAATGTATGAGCTGCTGTTTTGACTTTTTAATGTACAAACAAGCTGTTTTGACTTTCTAGATTTGCGTACAGACTAGGAAATATTTTACTAATTGAACAAGAAACACACATAACACTGAAATGTCTGCCCATTTTACCAGAGTAAATGCTGGTTTACAATCATGTCCTTTTGTCTACACAACATTGAATGAGAACAGTTGATAGCGACTGCTTCAGAAAACTGATGTCTTTCACCCTTTGTTTTTTCTCATCTTGTACCTAATGCTGTGTTAGCAAAGGAAATGGTATTTATTTTCACTGAGCCTGTTTCTTTCTTTCTTTCTCTTATTCCAGATACAGCATCTCCAATACTTTTGAAAGAGAGGCTGTGGGAGCTGTCCTTGACCTGACCAACGATGAGGGAGATCAGGTTAATCAGAAGAAAAGAAAGTGGTAAGTCCTTGAATCAGTTTATGTATCCCAATTTCTAGTGTCTATAAGGAGGGAATAGACGTCACAGTATAGGTAATGAAAGAATTGACTTTACAGTATAGTTAATAAAGTAACTGACGTCACATTATGGATAATGAAGTAACTATATCACAGTATGGATAATGAAGGAATTGATGTCACATGGATAATGAAGTAATTGACGTCACAGTATGGATAATGAAGGAATTGACATCACAGTATGGATAATGTAAGAATTGACGTCACAGTAGGGTTAATGAAGGAATTGATGTTGCAGTATGGATAATGAAGGAATTGATGTTACAGTATGGATAATGAAATAATTGACGCCTCTGTATGTTTAATGTAAAAATTGACATCACAGTAAGGATAATGAGGGAATTGACGTCACAGTATGGATAATGAGGGAATTGACGTCACAGTATTGATAATGAAGGAATTGATATCACATTATGGATAATAAAAGTATTGACATCACAGTATGATTAATGAAGGAAATGATGTCACAGTATGGTAAATGAAGGAATTGTTCTCACTGTTTATCTCTGGACACACTCCTGTTGCCCAGTGTATGTCCATTTAGACACTGCGATCCTTTGTTGTAGTTTTTTTTCTGTAGCTCAGTCAAAGGTGTGCCTGTTTTGTCATATGACCGGCTTGAGCTGATGTTAGCCCCGTTGACCTAAAGAAAACCAATTAAAAGCTAATTATCCTTATTTTGAGGGATTCCCGGGGGAAGAACAAATGCTGTTAGCCTTGTGTACATGCCACTGTTGCAGTGCCGGTACAGGGGCACATACAGGAGGTGCCAGGTTTGGTGCATCTCAGCGCGATGGGGTTGAGAGATAATATAAGGAGCTGTGTCCTGCCTGGAGGTGTGTTTGCTGTGTGGTGCTACTGCATATTTGTATACACCAGACGTGTCACTCAGTGGCTAATGTAGTCATAATAGACACAGAAGACCAGTCCCACACAAGACATAGAAGACCAGTCCCGCACAAGACATAGAAGACCAGTCCCACACAAGACCAGTCCCACACAAGACATAGAAGACCAGTCCCACACAAGACATAGAAGACCAGTCCCGCACAAGACACAGAAGACCAGTCCCGCACAAAACATAGAAGACCAGTCCCGCACAAGACACAGAAGACCAGTCCCGCACAAGACATTGAAGACCAGTCCCGCACAAGACATAGAAGACCAGTCCCGCACAAGACATTGAAGACCAGTCCCGCACAAGACATAGAAGACCAGTCCCACACAAGACATAGAAGACCAGTCCCGCACAAGACATAGAAGACCAGTCCCACACAAGACACAGAAGACCAGTCCCACACAAGACATAGAAGACCAGTCCCACACAAGACATAGAAGACCAGTCCCACACAAGACACAGAAGACCAGTCCCGCACAAGACATAGAAGACCAGTCCCACACAAGACACAGAAGACCAGTCCCACACAAGACACAGAAGACCAGTCCCACACAAGACACAGAAGACCATTCCCACACAAGACACAGAAGACCAGTCCCACACAAGACATAGAAGACCAGTCCCACACAAGACCAGTCCCCACACAAAGACATAGAAGACCAGTCCCCACACAAGACATAGAAGACCAGTCCCACACAAGACCAGTCCCACACAAGACATAGAAGACCAGTCCCACACAAGACATAGAAGACCAGTCCCACACAAGACATAGAAGACCAGTCCCACACAAGACATAGAAGACCAGTCCCACACAAGACATAGAAGACCAGTCCCACACAAGACCAGTCCCACACAAGACATAGAAGACCAGTCCCACACAAGACATAGAAGACCAGTCCCACACAAGACCAGTCCCACACAAGACATAGAAGACCAGTCCCACACAAGACATAGAAGACCAGTCCCCCCCACACAAGACCAGTCCCACACACAAGACATAGAAGACCAGTCCCACCCCACACAAAGACATAGAAGACCAGTCCCACACAAGACATAGAAGACCAGTCCCACACAAGACACAGAAGACCAGTCCCGCACAAGACATAGAAGACCAGTCCCACACAAGACATAGAAGACCAGTCCCACACAAGACATTGAAGACCAGTCCCACACAAGACAAAAAAGACCAGTCCCGCACAAGACATAGAAGACCAGTCCCACACAAGACATAGAAGACCAGTCCCACACAAGACAAAAAAGACCAGTCCCGCACAAGACGTAGAAGACCAGTCCCACACAAGACCAGTCCCACACAAGACCAGTCCCACACAAGACATAGAAGACCAGTCCCACTCAAGACATAGAAGACCAGTCCCACACAAGACCAGTCCCACACAAGACATAGAAGACCAGTCCCACACAAGACAAAAAAGACCAGTCCCGCACAAGACATAGAAGACCAGTCCCACACAAGACATAGAAGACCAGTCCCACACAAGACATAGAAGACCAGTCCCACACAAGACATAGAAGACCAGTCCCACACAAGACCAGTCCCACACAAGACATAGAAGACCAGTCCCCCACACAAGACAAAAAAAAGACCCAGTCCCCACACAAGACATAGAAGACCAGTCCCGCACAAGACATAGAAGACCAGTCCCACACAAGACAAAAAAGACCAGTCCCGCACAAGACATAGAAGACCAGTCCCACACAAGACATAGAAGACCAGTCCCGCACAAGACATAGAAGACCAGTCCCACACAAGACACAGAAGACCAGTCCCACACAAGACATAGAAGACCAGTCCCACACCAGTCCCACACAAGACCAGTCCCACACAAGACCAGTCCCACACAAGGCATAGAAAACCAGTCCCACACAAGACATAGAAGACCAGTCCCACACAAGACCAGTCCCCACACAAGACATAGAAGACCAGTCCCACACAAGACATAGAAGACCAGTCCCCACACAAGACATAGAAGACCAGTCCCCCACACAAGACATAGAAGACCAGTCCCACACAAGACATAGAAGACCAGTCCCCCCACACAAGACCAGTCCCCCCACACAAGACATAGAAGACCAGTCCCCACACAAGACATAGAAGACCAGTCCCGCAAAAAAGACATAGAAGACCAGTCCCACACAAGACATAGAAAACAGTCCAGTCCCACACAAGACATAGAAGACCAGTCCCACACAAGACCAGTCCCACACAAGACATAGAAGACCAGTCCCACACAAGACATAGAAAGACCAGTCCCCCACACAAGACATAGAAGACCAGTCCCACACAAGACATAGAAGACCAGTCCCACACAAGACATAGAAGACCAGTCCCACACAAGACATAGAAGACCAGTCCCCCACACAAGACCAGTCCCACACAAGACCAGTCCCACACAAGACATAGAAGACCAGTCCCACACAAGACATAGAAGACCAGTCCCACACAAGACATAGAAGACCAGTCCCACACAAGACCAGTCCCACACAAGACATAGAAGACCAGTCCCACACAAGACATAGAAGACCAGTCCCACACAAGACATAGAAGACCAGTCCCACACAAGACATAGAAGACCAGTCCCACACAAGACCAGTCCCACACAAGACATAGAAAACCAGTCCCACACAAGACATAGAAGACCAGTCCCACACAAGACCAGTCCCACACAAGACATAGAAGACCAGTCCCACACAAGACATAGAAGACCAGTCCCACACAAGACATAGAAGACCAGTCCCACACAAGACCAGTCCCACACAAGACATAGAAGACCAGTCCCACACAAGACATAGAAGACCAGTCCCACACAAGACATAGAAGACCAGTCCCACACAAGACCAGTCCCACACAAGACCAGTCCCACACAAGACATAGAAGACCAGTCCCACACAAGACAGATGACCAGTCTTCATAGGCAACGACATTGCCGTCCTCCTTCCAGACAGACAATATCCTCTGCATCTACAGTCTTCTCTCATGTAACAGAAATTGATTTCGTCTCTTCAGCACATGAAATAGAAAAATCAAAATTGACTTCCCTAGTTCTTGATACACCTCCTTATTAACCTCCCCATGAGCTGCATTTCTCTATTTTACCAGGCATCACCTGTTAATTTTAATTGTTTTCAATCTTCAGGGATCGAAAGAGAAAGAAGTTTGTCACAGAAGCAACAGATGATGTCAAAAAGAAAAAGATTAAAACAGAGAGTGGCAACTGGATCTCAGCCTCATATAAATCCAATGCATATCCTTGAGAATAGATCAGCAATATCAGTTTTGCTGTAATGTAGCTTCACATGTGATCATTGCTAGGATATCATTAACAATCCCTTCCCAGTGTGGGACGCAATTTTTCGCTATTTTAAAGCCCCACTCTGTAGTCAGGGGCCCTTATATAACCTAACGGATGAGCAAGGTTTCTAGGACTTGTGCCTGGGTGATTCTCATCTGAATGGTGGCACTTTGTGTCACCGGGTGTTGGTTACTCCTGGTGGGGTTGAACAACATAGACATGTTGCTAGGCCTGCTGTCATCATCATCATCATCATCCTGTGTTACTGTTTTACTTTCCATGATGCATGCAGTTTAGTTATCCATTTAGATCTGTTTTATCTCATTATCTCAATCAATATCATTGCACATTAGGCATTCCCATGTGTGCTCAGTCCTCCAGTGCAGCAGCACTCCAGCGTAGCTGTACTGATTATTCACATAAGGATAATATTTATCTCCTGTCCCAGCCTCAAAAGCAGCATTGCCCTGCTTCACTATGCTTTATTCCAAGGTCACAGAGTAATGTCCTTTCATGGATGGAATCCGGTCCAGCACCATTGGCTTCTCAGCCGTGTTTGTCTTGGATTTCTCTTGAGGGGTTCTTGTTTCAGTGCTAGGTAACTTTAGCATGTATTATCTTGTGCCTTATCTAACACTAGTGCGCCTGCCTGCTGAGACAGAGGCCCTGGTTCAATACTCAGAAGTAGCACGATTTTTCCAACATCACGATTCTAGGGTTGTCTTAACCTTATAAAAGTGGCCATCAGTCTATGTCCAGAATTTTCTGGGAATTATCTGGGAAAATGAAAATGGGGTGGAAGAGAACTGACCACCCAAAGAGATATGTTGGTTGGGAAACAGGGGCAGTAGCTGATCACACTTGATGTGTTGTTTGGGACACAGGGGCAGTAGATGATCACACTTGATGTGTTGTTTGGGACACAGGGGCAGTAGCTGATCACACTTGATGTGTTGTTTGGGACACAGGGGCAGTAGATGATCACACTTGATGTGTTGTTTGGGACACAGGGGCAGTAGCTGATCACACTTGATGTGTTGTTTGGGACACAGGGGCAGTAGCTGATCACACACAATGTGTTGTTTGGGACACAGGGGCAGTAGCTGATCACACACAATGTGTTGTTTGGGACGCATGGGCAGTAGCTGATCACACTTGATGTGTTGTTTGGGACACATGGGCAGTAGCTGATCACACTTGATGTGTTGTTTAGGACACAGGGGCAGGAGCTGATCACACTTGATGTGTTGTTTGGGACACAGGGGCAGTAGCTGATCACACTTGATGTGTTGTTTGGGACACGGGCAGTAGCTGATCACACTTGATGTGTTGTTTGGGACACAGGGGCAGTAGCTGATCACACTTGATGTGTTGTTTGGGACACAGGGGCAGTAGCTGATCACACACAATGTGTTGTTTGGGACACAGGGGCAGTAGATGATCACACTTGATGTGTTGTTTGGGACACAGGGGCAGTAGCTGATCACACTTGATGTGTTTTGTTTGTTTGGGACCCAGGGGCAGTAGCTGATCACACACAATGTGTGTTGTTTGGGACACAGGGGCAGTAGCTGATCACACTTGATGTGTTGTTTGGGACACAGGGGGCAGTAGCTGATCACACTTGATGTGTTGTTTGGGACACAGGGGGCAGTAGCTGATCACACTTGATGTGTTGTTTTGGGACACAGGGGCAGTAGCTGATCACACTTGATGTGTTGTTTGGGACACATGGGCAGTAGCTGATCACACTTGATGTGTTGTTTGGGACACAGGGGCAGTAGCTGATGACACTTGATGTGTTGTTTGGGACACAGGGGCAGTAGCTGATCACACACTTGATGTGTTTTTTGGGACACAGGGGCAGTAGCTGATCACACACTTGATGTGTTGTTTGGGACACAGGGGCAGTAGCTGATCACACACTTGATGTGTTGTTTGGGACACAGGGGCAGTAGCTGATCACACTTGATGTGTTGTTTTGGACACAGGGGCAGTAGCTGATCACACTTGATGTGTTGTTTGGGACACAGGGGCAGTAGCTGATCACACTTGATGTGTTGTTTGGGACACAGGGGCAGTAGCTGATCACACACTTGATGTGTTGTTTGGGACACAGGGGCAGTAGATGATCACACTTGATGTGTTGTTTGGGACACAGGGGCAGTAGCTGATCACACACAATGTGTTGTTTGGGACACAGGGGCAGTAGCTGATCACACTTGATGTGTTGTTTGGGACACATGGGCAGTAGCTGATCACGCTTGATGTGTTGTTTGGGACACAGGGGCAGTAGCTGATCACACACTGGATGTGTTGTTTGGGACACAGGGGCAGTAGCTGATCACACTTGATGTGTTGTTTGGGACACAGGGGCAGTAGATGATCACACTTGATGTGTTGTTTGGGACACAGGGGCAGTAGCTGATCACACTTGATGTGTTGTTTGGGACACAGGGGCAGTAGCTAATCACACACAATGTGTTGTTTGGGACACAGGGGCAGTAGCTGATCACACACAATGTGTTGTTTGGGACACAGGGGCAGTAGCTGATCACACTTGATGTGTTGTTTGGGACACAGGGGCAGTAGCTGATCACACTTGATGTGTTGTTTGGGACACAGGGGCAGTAGCTGATCACACTTGATGTGTTGTTTGGGACACAGGGGCAGTAGCTGATCACACTTGATGTGTTGTTTGGGACACAGGGGCAGTAGCTGATCACACTTGATGTGTTGTTTTGGGACACAGGGGCAGTAGCTGATCACACTTGATGTGTTGTTTGGGACACAGGGGCAGTAGCTGATCACACTTGATGTGTTGTTTGGGACACAGGTGCAGTAGCTGATCACACTTGATGTGTTGTTTGGGACACAGGGGCAGTAGCTGATCACACTTGATGTGTTGTTTGGGACACAGGGGCAGTAGCTGATCACACTTGATGTGTTGTTTGGGACACAGGGGCAGTAGCTGATCACACACAATGTGTTGATTTGGGGCTTAAAGGGTAGATCTGCTGCTCCTTAACCAGCATGTCATAGATTGTGAATTTGTGATCTAGCTGTACACCATAACATGCCAACTGCTTTTTGAAGGGCTAGCTCAGAAGAAGTCGATGAATCATGACTTGTGGCAGTAACAATCACAAGCAAGGACACAATGGGCACATTCACATTTACTGTATTATAGAAGTCAACATATTTTTCTCAAGCTAATGTTGTTGGTCCATCGCGAGTGATGAAGACCTCTTTCATCCAAAGTAGTAATGATCAATGATTTTGAGTACGAAAGTGGCTGATTAGTCCAATATCAGCCAGGAAAGTTCTTAAAAACAGTGCGGCCAACAACAGTAAGAGTGGCATTAGCAGTACGATTCTTGCTTATAAATATATATGTAATAAACAAACAGACAGTTTATTAATCGGCGTTCTACCACCACTGTTGCTCTACCACCACTGTTGTTCTACCACCACTGTTGTTCTACCACCACTGTTGTTCTACTACCACTGTTGTTCTAACACCACTGTTGTTCTACCACCACTGTTGTTCCTTGACTGATAATACTTATCAAGACTGGAGACACAGAAGCAGGTTTTCTGAGAGGGACGAACAGGCAGATTCTAGCGATGATGACCAGAGAAACGGAAGTGGTCAGACGAAAGGGCACCATATGTCTGGCGGAAAATTTACTGTTACTGGCACCAAGAGGAGAAATTGTGAGTATATCTGGCGGATCACACCTTTTATCAGATGTTTAGTTCATTTGTGTGAGTGCAAAGACTTAGCTGATGTTTAGTAAAGTGATCTATGTAAAGTTTTTTTATCAGATGTTTAATTCATTTATGTGGGGGCAAAGACTTTTAGCTAATGTTGAGCCTTCCTCGAAGATGTTTAGTTCATTGATCTTTGCCTCGAGTCTTTTAGAAAATGTTTAGTTCATTTATGTGTGTAAAGTCATTTAGCAAGTGTTTAGTTCATATACGATAGTGTAAATATTTGAGCAAATGTTTAGTTCATTTATGTGTGTAAAGTCCTTTAGCAAATGTTTAGTTCATATACGACAGTGTAAATCTTTTAGCAGATGTTTAGTTCATTTGTGTGTGTAAAGTCCTTTAGCAAGTGTTTAGTTCATATACGATAGTGTAAATCTTTTAGCAGATGTTTAGTTCATTTGTATGTGTAAAGTCCTTTAGCAGATGTTTAGTTCATATATGATAGTGTAAATCTTTGAGCAAATGTTTAGTTCATATACGAAAGTGTAAATCTTTTAGCAAATTTTTAGTTCATTTATGTGTGTAAAGTCCTTTAGCAAGTGTTTAGTTCAAATACAATAGTGTAAATCTTTGAGCAAATGTTTAGTTCATATACGATGGTGTAAATCTTTTAGCAGATGTTTAGTTCATTTATTAAGTCTTTTACCAGTATTTCATTTACTAATTTTCTCTTCAAGATCCACTAAAATCTATCATATATCTTGTGTTATTTCTCTAAAGATATACTAAATTCTAAAGTATTTCCTCTATTATTTATGTCTTTAGGATACATTAAAGTCTACAATATTTAATTTATTATTTCACAAGAGCTGTGATTTGAAACTCGTTCTAATGGCTTTATTATATAAATATGAAAAACCTTACTAGGTGTGGCAGAATGAAACAAAGTATTTTTTTTTAAAGAATTGTGAACCATGAATTGATCAGACAGTGATCCCATTGTTTAGGTAGGCAGTGAGTACCATCCGCAGAAGAGGATTGTGGTTACTCACTGAATCAAGTGTTCATTATGTCTGCATCTGTGTGAAATTGTTGCACCTTGAAAGCTTTGTTTAAATAAGAGGTCTGAACACACAATGAAAATCACACGGTGACAAAACAGGAATGTATGCTGACTGTAGACAGTTGCAGTTTCCTACTTCTTCAGTGCTAACGCTTCCTGCGCTGTCTTTGCAACATGTGGTACAAACCCCATCCCATGCACTCCTCCTTTCTTCTTCTGGTGGTCAGTCAACATCCATGGTATCCATTGTAAACACTCCTTCTGGTGGTCAGTCAACATCCATGTTATCCATTGTAAACACTCCTTCTGGTGGTCAGTCAACATCCATGATATCCATTGTAAACACTCCTTCTGGTGGCCAGTCAACATCCATGATATCCATTATAAACACTCCTTCTGGTGGCCAGTCAACATCCATGTTATCCATTGTAAACACTTCTTCTGATGGCCAGTCAACATCCATGTTATCCATTGTAAACACTCCTTCTGGTGGCCAGTCAACATCCATGGTATCCATTGTAAACACTCCTTCTGGTGGCCAGTCAACATCCATGTTATCCATTGTAAACACTCCTTCTGGTGGCCAGTCAACATCCATGGTATCCATTGTAAACACTCCTTCTGGTGGCCAGTCAACATCCATGTTATCCATTGTAAACACTCCTTCTGGTGGCCAGTCAACATCCATGTTATCCATTGTAAACACTCCTTCTGGTGGCCAGTCAACATCCATGTTATCCATTGTAAACACTCCTTCTGGTGGCCAGTCAACATCCATGTTATCCATTGTAAACACTCCTTCTGGTGGCCAGTCAACATCCATGTTATCCATTGTAAACACTCCTTCTGGTGGCCAGTCAACATCCATGTGTATCCATTGTAAACACTCCTTCTGGTGCCAGTCAACATCCATGTTATCCATTGTAAACACATCCTTCTGGTGGCCAGTCAACATCCATGTTATCCATTGTAAACACTCCTTCTGGTGGCCAGTCAACATCCATGTTATCCATTGTAAACACTCCTTCTGGTGGCCAGTCAACATCCATGGTATCCATTGTAAACACTCCTTCTGGTGGCCAGTCAACATCCATGTTATCCATTGTAAACACTCCTTCTGGTGGCCAGTCAACATCCATGGTATCCATTGTAAACACTCCTTCTGGTGGCCAGTCAACATCCATGGTATCCATTGTAAACACTCCTTCTGGTGGCCAGTCAACATCCATGATATCCATTGTAAACACTCCTTCTGGTGGCCAGTCAACATCCATGGTATCCATTGTAAACACTCCTTCTGGTGGCCAGTCAACATCCATGATATCCATTGTAAACACTCCTTCTGGTGGCCAGTCAACATCCATGATATCCATTGTAAACACTCCTTCTGGTGGCCAGTCAACATCCATGTTATCCATTGTAAACACTCCTCCTGATATGTTGCAGTTTCTTGCAAACAACCTTTTGAACTGTTTCAGTTGACATTGAATTCTTTCACTAGCAAACGTATGTTTCGGCAACGCTGGACTTGTATTATTGCATAAATTGTGACGCTAGTCTTGGTTGTTTTGTTGTTATTTGTTGTTGCATCATGTGCTTGAACCGGCTACAGACCAGATCTGTAATGAACTCACACCCTTTCCCAGACATTCTTGCCCAGTCTCTGACAGTTTGTTTCAAACGCATTGATTACCATACACCGCATGCATTCTTTAGTGTTTGTCCTCTGATCGATGTCCATCAAATGAAACAAACTGAATCATGGCTCTTTGACTTCTTTGCGAGGATTTTTGATTTGTCTATCCACAACCTTCTGTCTTATGTCCTTTCAATCAACTTTGATACAAGATGATCCTCCATGCCATGATGTCAAACTGTCCAGCATCTGTTCTCTCAGAGCCTCTGCCCCTCCTCCCCTTCAACTTTCCTACTCATTTTCTTGATGGTCAGAAACAGAACCGCTGCTTCATGGGATGATAAACATATGCTGTTTTATTCATTTGTTGTTATGATATGATCATGTTCAGTGCTTGCAGTTACAGGTGTCATCAGAGGGTTCAAGTGAAAGCTCAAGGAATGCATTATACGTTCATATGTTTCTACCTAGAAGCACATTGAACGCAAGATGTGCCAATCTTATGTCTTTTTTGACTATCCCTTGGGCCTCTGATGCTAAACCCCCTGGGGACTCAAAGAGTTATACTCAGCATACAGTAAATCCTCAAAATACACTAAAATCTACACTTTTACATCTACTGCCCTTTCTCTCCTCAGGGCACACAAACGATAAAAACAGAGAAGTAAGCGGCAAACAAAACAAGATGAAGTTCAAGCGAGGAAAAGCTGGTGAGCTGCGAAATCCTGACCAGATTTTGAAAGACCGCAGGAAGAAAGCCAAAGTTCAGAACTTCCAGAAGCATCGGCAGAATACTCGAGCGAAAGGAAAGGGAAAGGACACGATGGGGAACCGGATGGGGAACAGGAAGGGAAAGGACACAATGGGGAACAGGAAGGGGAAGAGATAATCTGTGTACATTAACACTGAAAGTTAATTATATTTCATGAGTGAAACACAACCATTAGCTCTGTGTTGGCAAACAGACTTGTGACCTGTATGTCGTGCAGAATTTGCTGTACATAGATTAAATGTCCATGTTGGTCAAATGTGCGAGTATAAAGTGAATCTGTTGTTGGCTTGTGTGCGTGATTTCCAAGTGAAGAGTGGTGTGATATCCAAGTGTGGAAAGAAGATGTGGGTCCTACTGACAGTTAAATGTGATAAAGTTAAAAAAGGATCAACTTCATTGCACCAGGTTTTATCCCAGATGGCTCAGTCTCTCTCTCTCTGCAGACAGAGAGAGATGATGGCGGATCAATTGCAACGGTGACAGGAAGGGATATTAACAGTGGAACTGATCCAGAAGACCAGGGGCCAAAATCTGTGGAGACATGTGGACGCATATGCCAGTTGGCAGGGCACGTGATGCTGAAGTAAACTTAGTTGAAAAAGCCCGCCGACATGTGATTACAGAGCAGCTGCTTTCTTCTTTTAAAAAAAAAATTGTTAGAAAATTTGCTGCTGTATTTTTATCTTACAAAACAGCTTTTTTTGACAGCAGTGCACACGTCTTTTCCACAACAGTGCACACTGGTGTCTTTTCCACAATGGTGCACACCAGTGTCTTTTCCACAACGGTGCACACCAGTGTCTTTTTCACAATGGTGCACACCAGTGTCTTTTCCACAATGGTGCACACCGGTGTCTTTTCCACAACAGTGCACACCAGTGTCTTTTCCACAATGGTGCACACCAGTGTCTTTTCCACAACGGTGCACACCAGTGTCTTTTCCATCAACAGTGCACACTGGTGTCTTTTCAACAAGCCTCAGCTTCTTTATTTTATAGTATTACATTTTGAACAAGACAACATTCTTATCTCATAACCAACACACAGACATGTTTCCTTGTATGTTTATTTTGTCACAACAGGCATGCAAATGTGATACAAAAGGTATCCATCTTTAGGAACTAGTCTCTAGAATTTCTCTCCTCCTCTTCCTGTGGTTTTTAGCCCCTGAAATATGTCTGCTAAGAAAAAAGTATTCAACCTGTGGCCGGGAAAAATACAACTAAATGATCTGGAAGTCTGAAACCCTCATCCCCCTCCAAGTGCCTCCTTGGGTCTGAACATACTTCTCCCTATGCTCTTTTCATTCCTTTTTTCCCTAGTTATGCCTTCCAGCATCAAGTTTTTTGAAAAGGCATAGGCTGTGTAACCTGGTATGTATGGCATTCATGCTAGTATTTATAGCCTCACATATTCCATCTATCCATCACTTGCTTGGGCTACCTCTAGTCTCTGATTCAATTGTGTCTGAGTGACAGGGGCTATCTGTGGTCAGTTTTTAAACCAAGATTGAACGCAGTTGATCAAGTCATCATGGGAGAGGTGTGTTCACGATCCTAGGTACTTGAAATGAGTTATAGTCTAGGCCCTTCTGGCAAGTAATTGTCTTTGCTCCTGGCTGCAGGTTGAGTACTTTTTGAACAGGGCTGAAATATTTCCCCATTGTGGTTTAAAATAGTTGTCTTCCCTTGTAGTATGCAATACATTTCAAACATTTATGTTCTTTTATTGATTGAAATACAGTTTATCTCCTTCCCACTGTGGTTTGACACACCTTCCCATTGTGGTTTGACACACCTTCCTACTGTGGTTTGCCACACTTTGCCACTGTGGTTTGAAACAATTCCCCCATTGTGGTTTGACACAATTTCCCCACTGTGGTTAGACACACATTTCATCCCCCCACTGTGGTTAGACACACCATTTTACCTGGTGGTTGACACCACATTTCCCCACTGTGGTTTGACACACATTTCCACTGGTTTGACACAATTTTCCCCACTGATTGAAATACAGTTTATCTCATTTTCCCCACTGTGGTTTGACACAATTTTCCCCACTGTGGTTAGACACACATTTCCACTGTGGCTTGACACAATTTTCCCCACTGTGGTTAGACACACATTTCCACTGTGGTTTGACACAATTTTCCCCACTGTGGTTAGACACACATTTCTACTGTGGTTTGACACAATTTCCCCACTGTGGTTAGACACACATTTCTACTGTGGTTTGACACAATTTCCCCACTGTGGTTAGACACACATTTCCCCTGTGGCTTGACACACCTTCCCACTGTGGTTAGACACACCTTCCCACTGTGGTTTGACACACATTTCTACTGTGGTGTGAAACATCAAATATTCCTTCCACACTGTCAGAGCTAATTTGAGAAATAATGCCTTTTATCTAAAGACCTGACTTCCCACATTAAGCCAGTGGCTTTGAGTGGAGGAGCAAACCTGGGGAGGATACCAGCCTTATCCTAGGAAGAGGGAAGCAGCCTAAAAACTTAATTTTATGGCAGCGTAGACAAGGCTCTCAGCCTAGGCTGGCACCTGGTCTCAGAGGAAAGCTCCGACAGGTGAAGAGCAGAGCACTGCTCGTCAGATCTGGCAGCTTCTACAAAGTGCTTTGTTCCAAACATTCGTGTCACTTCTCTGGCACATGGGAGTCGATTGTCTGGATCCTAAACTTTGACAGCAGTAGACGTTATGAAGAAGAGTGGCTGGCCAAACAGTAGAGCGCTGGGCTCTCATGTAGGACACGGGTTTGAATCCTCTGTAAGTTAGGGGGATTTTTTTGTCGGGGAAAGGGATAAAATCCTAACCTGTGCAGTCTGTGCAACAGCACTAGCCACATGGCCCTAAATTCTCAGGCTTACAGACCCCTCCTGCCTACATCGCAAATGTGGTAAATAACTTATTACTACCCGTATTCGTCCAGCAAGCAATGGCAAACTACAGCATGTAAATTTGCCCCTAAAACCACAGCCCCAAAAAATACTGGGGTTGGTTCTGCAACGTCCTGTAAAGGATACACAACTGACTTTAACACATATTCACCATTTTGTCATGGAGGGGAGGAATCTAAGAGTTTAGGGCCACTTGCTAGTGCTGTCGCCACAGACTATGCAGGTTACGATTATATTTTTTTTCCACGACAAAAAAAAAATCCACAGCATTCCCGGGAATCAAACCTGACCTTCACACATGACAGTCCAGCACTTTTAACCAATCAACTAGCAACTCCTAAAAAAAAAAGTATATACAGGCAGTAAGTGGCAGATGTACAAGATGGTCAGGTGTCACCAAAAAATACACCAACCAACACTCATTATTACTGTTGTCTACAAAAAAAAAAAACTGTTTGACTTCTCTAGGTACAATTGATGAGATTAATAAATAAATAATTCTCCATCAGGAAAGTTAATAAATAAACACTCAGAACAATTGAACTGTAGACTGCACAAAAAGGGTCACCAGAGTGATCTCTAGACTAGGAAGTGGGAAATAGTTATGTCGATACAGAGAGGACAATACAGCCTCAAAGGTTGGACATTGATGTCTATAAAGACAGGGCATTCCAGCCTCAAATGTTAGCCATTCCTGTTTATATTGACAGGACTTTCCAACCTCAAATGTTAGCCATTCCTGTTTATATTGACAGGGCATTCCAGCCTCAAATGTTAGCCATTCCTGTTTATATTGACAGGACTTTGCAGTCTTAAACAGTTTAGCAAATGTTAATATACTAGTCAAACTATCATTATCATGAGCGTCATCATTAGAGACAGGAGATCCAGCCCAAACATTAGCAATTCCTGTTTATATTGACAGGGCATTCAGCCTCAAATGTTAGCCATTTCCTGTTTATATTGACAGGTCTTTGCAGTCTTCCAAAGTCTTAAAATGTTAACTATACTAGTCAAACTATCCAAGCTTGAGCGTCACACATTAGATGTATGATATTACAAACATTCCAAAGATTTAAGGTCTGCACACACCTAACTGTCTGCCTCCAATTCTGATATTCCAAAGGTCTTAAGACAACTGTCAGTCACTCCAAACTTCAGACATTCAAATGTCTGATATTCCATAGGTCTACAGGCATTCAATTGTCTGTATTCTGACTACACACATCCAATAATCGGATGCTCCAAACTAGAGACATCCAGCTGTCTGTTACTTTGAACTACAGATATCCAACTGTCTGTTACTTTGAACTACAGATATCCAGCTGTCTGTTACTTTGAACTACAGATATCCAACTGTCTGTTACTTTGAACTACAGATATCCAGCTGTCTGGATAGTTTAAACTAGAGACACCTAACTTTTCTGACACTGCAAACAATGGACATCCCACGGACTCCTAAATACCCAAAACCAAACTGGCAAGAAACATGTCACACAACAACAAAAAAACAGCAATAAAACAAGGAAGACACACACACACACCACTAAATTTGTGGTCACAATCCAGCAGAGAGATCAGATCTGACACACAATAAACCTTATATGCAACTGAACTTCCATCAGCGAAATCACAGACATTTCATAAAGTTAAGATTTAAAAAAAAAGATACTAGGTTGTTACAAAGTGTTTTGTAACATTAAGCATAGTAATTACTGTAAAGTATTTATAATTATTAACATAACATTCATTAAAAGAACAACAAAAAAACATAGCTGTATTTCTAACTCCATGTTTTTTTACCGCCACCAGAACAGCATAGGATGCCGTCTCTGACCATGGCTATCTTCTGCAACACCTGCCATGCATCTTCCTGATTATCCATCTCTTGATAATGTTCACTCATCTGTAACAGCTTGCCTGCTAGCCTCAAGCTCTTAGGTTCAAATCCACATCAGACTCCCCCCCCCCTCCTCTCAGAATGACCTTCATTGCCAGGTTGAACCAGCCTAACTTACTTACTTACTTAGTCGCTCCTCTTCCACCTTGGGGTGTAGAGGTACACTGAACCAGCCTAAACACATACTAACATGCCAGCTTGTCTCCACAGATATGAATCTAGCATCATATGTGTAAGAAGCCACTGGGTATATGGGGCAGGCAATGTTCCTGTTTGAGCCAAGATGGCGGGGCGCGTTTCCCT